TTAGATCCGGAAAAATCAATGTTTAAATTATCATTCGCCGTAGATATCATCGTGATAGGATCGTTATTATGATTATCTTTCACCATTCGAGCCAACTAAATTAGATCTCATCTCACGTCTTCCGACGGTTTAATCGTAATGATTGCAGTTCAATGGTGATAAAAAGAACAGTGTTGAAACTTGCATTTAAAAGAAGGTTAACAATCCTGGAAAATGTGTGAGGTATGATATAACCCCTCTTCATACAGAAGACTCGTGTTTAAAAGTAATACGTATAAATAGATTGTTGATAATGATGTAAATGATGATAGATTGTGTATTCGATATTAAAATATTTTTATTTCTTAAGTAAATGAATTCCACTTGAAATTATCTAACAAACACCACTACTCCTTAGTAATGCTCTTAAATTCCCGTTCGTCAAATTCTGACTCCTGTTCATTAGATTATGACAGATGGTTTCGTTCCGTGGCTTAGTTGGTATAGCGTCTGCCACGATATGCAAGAAGACGTCGGTTCGAATCCGACCGGATCGAAGGAATTTTTTCTGAGTGTTTTTTCTGAGTGTTCGATCTTTGTATTAATAATTATAACAAACTAGTGGAGTAATTTCACAAAAAATAATTGAATATCAATTCAATAAAAATTTAATTAATACAGTGAAAGCGACATCTCTCGCCAGGACTGGTAGCTGTAAAGGAACTAACTGGGTGATAAATCTGTAATAGATTTCTCATAGACGGCGCTACGACTAAAAAGTCGTTGAAAGACCAAGTACAAAGACACGACGCAAGCACATAGAAGAATTCGTGAGGTCCGTTGGTTCGTTCCGTGGCTTAGTTGGTATAGCGTCTGGCACGGTATGCAAGAAGACGTCGGTTCGAATCCGACCGGATCGAAGAAATTTTTTCTGAGTGTTTTTTCTGAGTGTTTGATCTTTGTATTAATAATTATGACAGATTGTTTATTGTGATATGTTATATACTATAATGGCGGCGGCGGAACATGCCGTTTTAACTGTAATCCTATCTCGCCGCCGCCATTTTACAATATCTTATCACATTTTTTTATAATTTTTAATTATATCTTTTTTATACATGAATATAGCATCCAAATATAACTGTACTTAATAAATGTACTTTAGTATAATTTAAAGTAATATTGTAGAAATAAAATTGAATGTGGGTTACACCACTATTGCGATGATAGTCTCAAATATTCTATCATAATTGTAATGAACAGGAATCAGAATCTGACAAACAGGAAGTACGTCGTCACCTAACAAAACCTTTGCTTTATTTGGTCGTTATCGCAATACCTATACAAATGGATATTCCGCACAATCGCTTATACGATACAGCAACGTATAATCAAAATTTCCTAAATTGATTAGTTACACGATTACATAGCACAATCGAATTTCCTACTTCGCAGCAACGTTCAATTTTTTTATTGCTTTTCTTGTAACATATTTCATTAACCAAACAACTTAGGTTGTACAGTTAATAGCAAACAAGTTTTGGATTATGAATCGTACTTATCGCAAGCGGCATAGATTTGAATTTAAATCTTAGGTTAGCAGCAATGCAAACTCGCGTTTGTGTAACGCGCTATTTCATCGCTACATATTTACAGGCGTTTGCAGCGATGCAATCGCGTGTTTGCATCGCGAATGTATCACTGCAGTTGTGACTTCATCGCGTTTACGTCGAGATGACATCGCGATTGTGTCGCTTTATTTCTCTACACACTTAAAAACGATTACATCATATGTTTTCTTCACACCCCTAAACCTACCTCGGTTTGTCTTGGTACTTATTAAACCTATGCTTAATAAACGACAGAATATTAGTTTAGAGTATAAAATTTACGTAATTAACAAAGGAATGGTTTGTATATTACGAAATAATGTTGAATGTCGGTAGCAAAAAACAAAATAAAACAACAGATGTCGTAGAACGCAACACAACGGAACCAGTATTTGAACTTGCGTGATATCAACCAATCCCGTGCTCGTGCAGCGTGCTCCGACATTTTCTAACGGATTAGTTTATTAAAGTGACTTTTAATTGAATGATTTGTGTTTTTCTTTAATATTTTTTTTATAATATTCAGTGACGGGACGAGAAAGTCGTGCGCCTGATGGTAAGCTACACGCCTGTCCATAGCAGTTGCAGTGCCACTCAGAGCTTTAAATCGCAAAGATCTTACTGGCACTGCCACTGCGCCCGTCACCCTGAGATATAAGTTGACAAGTCCGATGTGCCATAATTTCACCAGCGCAGTTACCCTACTAAACCGGTACGCAGTAATGCTTACATTCCTGCTTGGCGGCAGAAATAGGTAAGGCGGCAGCACTTCCCTGGACGAACTCTTTCACAAGGAGCTCTACTGCTTCTAAAATTAATTTCAAACGTAAAGTGTTAATTAGTCCTAGTACGATAAACTTAGTACTCCTTTCTCCATGAAAGTAATTCGCTGACGTTGTTGATATTGTTTGTGAAGTGATGTGTCTAGTCACGTATGCTAAGTTGCGTGTGTAGAGGTTTTTTTTATAATACCAAGTGACCGGATGAACAAGTCGTGTGCCTGGTGGTTAGCGACACGCCGATCCTTAACTGGTGCAGGGCGACTCAGAGCTATAAATAGCAAAGACCTTAGAAGCACTACCACTGCGTCTGTCACCCTGAGACATAAATTGACAGTCCCATGTGCCTGTAATTTCACCAGCACCCTTACCCTTCCAAATCGGAACGCTGTAACGCTCATTACTGCTTGGTTGCAAAAATAGGCAAGGTGGCAGTACTTTCCTGGACGAACTTTTTCTTTCGAACACAAGAAGCCCGACGGAGCCCGAGCCAGAGCGACTCCTCTTAAGTGTCAAACTTAATGTGCTCTTAACCCTGTACTAAAGACACTTGATTTAGCGTAACTTTTGGGGTGTTGTGTGTGATTGAGAAGTGGAATGATAGTCTAGGACTCGAGATATCATTTTATTCGCAGTTTGTTGTGTGTATTTCACAACTCATATTAAGCCCAATCGAGGACGCACATGTGTCACGTGTGTTATAAATTGCGAAATTACGCGATTACCCAATTTACTTTACAATAGAAAAAAAAGAAAATGTCACTATTTTTCTGACAGTTATTTAGTACGTGGTTAATGACGCAAAGTCATACACAAACCGCATAGTTGTGCGCAGTTGAAGTCACGAGCGGTTGCACTTTAATGAACGTGTGAATTGCACACATGGAGTCCGTCTGATTGCTGCCTAACTCTAGCTTTGAGTGAAGGAAAGCTATCATGGTGACTCCTGCATTTTGAAGAAACTTCAGAAAATTCTTTAGAGACATGGGAGCTCACGCTACGGTATTGTACCATGGGCCAAGTCAGTAGTTTCAGTAATTACGTTTAAGGTTCAGGAGACGTATCTTTGGGAAACCTACGGTGTGTGGCTCGATGTAAGCAGCGTACTATTATTCGAAAACCTTAAGCATGTACATTTTTTTAATAATACTAAGTGACGGGTCGAACAAGACGTGTGCCTGACGATAAGCGATACGCCTGTGCCTATCAGTTGCAGTGCCACTCAGAGCTTTAAATCACAAAGGTGTGAGGGGCACTGCCACTGCGCCCGACTTAACTATATAACTTGACAAGTCCCATGTGCCTGTTATTTCACCAGCACCCTTACCCATACGTACATATATATACGCGTAATATATGAAATAATTTATATGCACACGTTCACAAATACATACAGCAAGGGATCAAGGGACGCGGTCTTAATGTACATGCTGCTACAAGGGCATTCGAACCGACAAACTCACATTTACTATTATTGGTACAACTCCGGCCAGGTGGAGTGACGACCTGCGAAAGGTTGCTGGCGGGAAATGGATGCGACAAGCTGAGAACCGAAATGACGCATATTGGGGGAGGCCTATGTCCAGCAGTGGACTGCGATAGGCTGATGATGAAGATGATACAAAAATTTAACAAAGGCAAGAAGAAACCTTGGATCTGACAGGACGCGAACCAACGTTTGTTGCTTCAACGTATCTAAATGTTGCTTCCCAAACGAGAGTTCGACGGTTCGAATCCCTGTGTGGCGACATGTACCTATAGTTTTATTTTTCTAAGTGACGTACATTTGTAAATATTAAATAGCTATACCTCACGTTAACGGTGCGATAGCTGTATATCGAAGATTTAGTAACCCTTTGAAAATATTTGAACTCCCCAATTCTGTGGTAGTACTCTTTTGGTCAACTCTTTCAGAAGGTGCTATCATACTACTAAATCTACTTATACTTGTTAAAAGGGATTCAAATGCTATACTCTTTCTTATTGCGTAAAATAAAGAAATGGATATACTGAAAAAATATAATAATTATTGAAATAAACAAGGTATCGTTCGAGATGATCGTACAATTTGTTTCTTTGTAACATGTTCCGAGCCCATGTACAGCAATGATTGCGGCAATCATTCTACGTAATCAATTTAATCAGGTTGTGACTGATTCCATCAAGTATTTTGACAGGTTAACTTTAGTTCTTTGGGACAGTTACACAGAAAATGAAGCGATTTTTTGTTATTTCAAACAAACGTCATTAACGTTAGTCAGTTATGTCCATGGGACTTGTAAATGGGCTCGAAACGTTGGTTTGTTTGAAAAAACATACACACGCGATTTAGATCCGAAAAACTAGTTTCATTTCGGTTACCTTGAGAAATGCCAATGAATATTCAGTCTGTTTCCCGAAAATTACGATCGGGGGCTATTCACGGCTAGGCATTATTTAGACAAAAGCGTACAATTGTCGGTTATATTGCCGCTTAACATCAGATAAGGTTCTAGTCGAGCGTGCTTCTATATCTGTCGCAAATTCTATTGCTGAAATGTCACAGTACCGTAGATATAGATATTTCTATTGATACAAAAAATAGTCTATATTTCTTTATTTAATTTCTATAATAACATATTCAGTGCACAATTTAGAGGTCATATTGCTTGATCAGTTGGTTTATCACTGTCTTTTGATTTGCTGTGCGTGTCACCGGCTTCTAACGTCGCTTCGGTTTTCGTTTGCTTCAACTCACGCCTGTGCTGGACAAAGAACCATCTGCAAAAGTTAACAGTTGTTATTAATACGTCAATATAATCATATGATTATAGTGACCCTCACTACCGACCCTTAGGGTGTACGACAAGGGCACTATAACCTGTGCGCGCACAGGTACTTTATAAGTTCAGGTTCTGACCCCAGATCAGCCAGTGTACAGGGTTGTCACAGACCTTTGTCACTTGACTTCATCCGGTTCTCGAGAGGCTAGTGCCTCGGGTAAGCCGCCCCGGGCGCACTTACCGTACCCCCCTGTTTTCCAGATAAGCGTCGGCGATGTAGGCACGCTCTAAATCTCCTCTTTGGTGGCGGAGCTGTAAGACACGTTTACTTCCCGACGCCATAAAAGACGTCTCTCCAGTTTCCAATAACCTAAGCGGCTGGAGAGACCGGAGGATGTCTAGCTTATCATCTACTAGCTCTCCGGGCTAGTATCGGAGATGCCAGTCGCTGTGTGTGTGATAGCTACCAACTTAAGGGCTTCCGCAACTTTAGGCCCTCGACTAAACCGCTACAAAGACGCGCTAATTGAGCACGAGACAGATGCGCCGGCACATGTAACCGGGGTAGATAAACATGTCCGTCTCTGCAACCCACCACAAACCCCAGCGAGTCCATATCCAAGTCCGGGCCCACCAGAGACGCCTGCGAAGGCGTATCACTGGCGGATAGCTGGTCACGGACTGCCCTGGTCTAGCCGTCGAGCCCATAGTCTCTCAGGAAAACCCTATCTCTCAGGTCGGTAGATAGGGACTATTAATAACATGGGTACAATCGATGTCCTAAGATATCTGACCTCTTAACCGTCTATTTGGTTTTGAGTAGATCAGTGAGAAGATAAGTGCTTAACAAACTTAACTTTAATCTGTGATCCGTAAAATACATTACTGCTAAGAGTAAAGAAAAAATTGAGAAGAAGAAGGAATAAATTTGGGTTTCCTAAGTCCAAGTTAATTGTCGGGGCTACGTCGGCTCGTTTAGTACCCACAAGTACAAGAGCAGTTGTGACTCGTTTTAGCTATTTTCAATGTTCATTTGTTATGCTAATTGTCTTTATATAATATATGAAATCAATATATTTTATTTTCATAATATACAGGCAAGGTACAATAAAAGCTTAAACACTGACATGAATAAAATTGGGTCCCCGCGGCAAGATGCCCAAGACCCTGGCAGCGTTCCCCCTTTGTATGGCTATGCTAATGCGTTGGGCAAGGTAGTTGCCGGCTCTTGCGTTTCCCAGACAGTCTATTCATTCTTTGGATTAAATTTTGTACAGGTGAAGGGCACCGGGATCCCACGGGTCTGTAAACAGATAGTCGGAGCCGAGGTCCTAGTACTTAATTTATTATTTCCGCCAGATCAGCTGCGGAGCCAACCCCTTTTGCTGGTGTGCTGGAGATGGGATAGAGCAAGTGTGACGGCACACATGGCGTCCCTCATCAGTGCCCGGCCCATGCTCCAAGGGATGAGAGTCATTCCGTCCGGGCGTTTGCCATCTGTTTGGAAATATTAGTGGATCTTCGATCATTAGCGGTTACATAACAAAAGAGAGAGTGAAATGACTTTGTTATTAAAACATCGCTTTGAACAATTGAATAGCGTCATACATCGCGGATGTTTCAATGCTATGCAAATCACATTCCATTATTTGTATGCAGTTTTATTGAATTATGCATGTTGTCATTTTTGTGTAACGATGCTTTAGATGGTGATTTTAGTCATCAATACGAATCGCTTGTACTATCAGGACATCGTACCCTAGGATATGCAATCCTAGTTTGGAAAATGTGCTGTCAAGTCCATGTAGGTTGGATAGAATGCGTTCAACGCCTTATGGCATATACTGGATAGAAGATGTCCAACTAGACAGGCCTCATATTCCTTAAGGACTAATATACATACAATATAATACTTTTAACAATATAATAAACTAAATAAGTAATCTACATGAATTGCACTTGTCGGCGAAGTGTGGCGAATTCTGGTGTCAGGTAACCGGCCGCAGAATCACCGATATATGAAAGCCTTCGGCCAAAACTCCTTCTTCATGAAGGTCAACAGACGTTCGGTCCAACCGCTCGACCCTTAGCGTATATTTTGCTTGTAGCCTGATGTACTCCAATATCACCTCAGAGCGTTTGCGCATTACGTTCGTTTCGTATCAGTTCCGAATCCGAATAATGATTATCCGAAATGTTATTCTTCATTGTCAATAATTTTATCTCTAGATTTACAAGTGATATTCGCATTTTCTCGGATTGGAATCGTACTTAGTGCACAACCGACATACGAAGTGGGTCCGAGTTTTCTAGATTTGTATAGTCTCGGAATTGGAAGTGCTCAAATGCGCTCAGACTTCGTGGAGTAATGTAGTTGCGATAGGTATACACAGGTCATCGGTATGGCCGGACACAGCAAAAAGTTCGATCCCGTCGTTGCTGTGCCACGCAGGTTGACACGCCTCAAATAATGACTCAAATTGATTTGGCGATACCCAGAAGGGTTTGACGTTAGGTACTCAACTCAGATATTCTTGGTTCTCGTACCTCATACTAATGTGGGCCGTTTTTCTCCACTTTACTGTAGTATGAGAACTTTCAACGACATTTACTCAGACGAGGTTGACATCTTTCGCGACTCATATAATAAGATGAACGGAAAGTGACAATTGTTTTTAGAGTTGTTATAAGAGTGAAATGGCAATCTTTTAAATAATAGTTTTTGAATATATTTTTTTTGTATTTAAATTAAAATCCTAGATATTATCACATGTTACCTTGCGGAATTGTTAGACACGTAACAGCTTAATATACTATATACATATTTAAAGATAAGACAATGTAAGTAATGTATAAATCTCATAAAACGCCAATTTCTTCTTCCATAATAAATGTTCATTACCAGTTACATATATATATATATATATATATATATATATAAATATAAATCAAATTACCCTTTTAAGAACGTCTCTACGTTACGTTTACTTCCACATTCGTATTCTAAAAAAAACACCATATTTGTTACATGACCAAACCATCGAAGCATTCCCTATCGTATCCTGTGGCCACTGTACATTTTTTCACACATCACCTGTCTTACTACACTGCTCATAAATAACACAATGTTCATAACTACTCATCCAAGATGTATAAAACCGCTGATTTGATTTTGCGATTTAAGATTAAAAGTTAATTCCCATAGCTACTAAGAGTTATTTGTGTTGTGTATCAAATAACGCACACACTCAACATAAATAAGAAATTCAAAGAAACGTACACTTATTAATTTACTTAAGATTTTTCAAGTAATATAGATTTGGAAGCATAGATTATTTGATTTTTAATTCGAAATTTAATCCTGTATGAAACATATTTTAAGAACCGTCAGCTCAATAAGTCTGCAATAGCCGAGTGTTTGCTGGAATCAGGACTAAACCACTGGAGTTGGAGAACTCAGCTTCATAATCCCAAGATCCTTTCTATAGAACATAATTACTATAGAAGAATCGTAAAGCTATTGAAATTAAACCGAGAAGACGGTTTTAAGTTTTCATCGCCGTGGAATCCAGTTATCAACAAATATAAACAACATCAAGTTTCGCCCCACAAGTCGCCGGATGTTGTGAGTGTTTAATGTCGGTCTAGTGACAACCCTAGTGCATAAATAAATAATGAAGATTAAGTGCGAGTAGTTAGAAAAACTCGCATGGCTAGAAGATGCTGACATCCGTCTCCGATTTCAAATAATTTGGATTTTGAGCTCGATCTCAAAAGAAAGAAATAATTTTTTTTGAGGCTCTATTGTCGTTGAGAAGAGAAAAATCTTTAATATAGAATTACAGAAATTATCTAACCACCGAATTGTATTCTCTGATGTGGTGGTATCATTTGAGAAATATATTTAATTATACGGTTTATACGTATAGTACCTTCATACCAAAGCAATTCTTAAGTAAAGTAGAACTTACAGTAAGAGCGAAATAGCAGGCAATATCATAAAGCCGCTAAAGATGAATACGGTTCCAGCGAATGTGTCGATAGATCGTTTGTATAATGCTGAGTAGGTTGGGTCGAAGATTAAAGCTGCTGCCGTCTCTACCAGGCTGAAGAGAGAGTTTATTTTACCTGAAATTTTAACACTGACTTTGAGAAAATTATGCTGGAAGATATAGTGCAATGCGTTTGGTCCTTGACACCCAATTTAATCAAGTTGCTGGTAAACGCAGTAAAGGTAGAAATTGTGAGATATTTGTTTGAGAACTTAAAAAGCATTCAGTGTTGCATTTGATCATGTGTTCATGTTTATGTAAGCAATAACTAAGGTAAGACTGACCCAGTTCTTCGCTAGTGACAAGTTTTGTTGCCATAGACCGCAATGATGTCCATGTCGTAGCATTTAGGATTTCTACAATGGGTACTGTGAACAGAAAATAGTGGGATACCTCAGGAAAGTGTGCTTAACCCTGAGAATGTTAAATGACTAAAAAGCGTAGCAATTTTTTTGAGTTTCAACGCAAAACTGTTTACGTATTAAATCGACCTATCGTAACGTCAGAGAAATGGTAGAAGTACTTATATTACAAATAGATAAAAAAATGATAATACGTAAATATTTCAGTATTTATATGATAACCGTTATGGCTTGTATGGAATGCATATGAATTTATACTTTAAGTTTAAAGGGAGACGTAGCGTTGTCCGTGTGTTAATTTGCCAAAATACAAAGGCGACGACCTTTAGTGACCGCAACAAAATCGTTATCAGAAACAATATAAAAGTAATTGCTATTAATATATAGACCTAGTATGTTTACTTGTAATATCACAGTGTAATTAACGTTATCTTCAAATGTACACGAAATAATATTGGCGCAGATTCATGACACAATTTTAGTATTGACTAATTCAGTAGTAACAAAAACATAAGTAGTTAATACAGCGACATGCATTTTGAGATTGTACCTACTTGTCGAGTTCCTAAGCTTTTGCGATAGTAATCTTATTTGTTTAAACAGCCTCGATACGTTATCTTAATTTTTAGCACGTTTATGAAATTATTCTATTAATACTAACTTTTCAATGATAACACTAATTGTAAATTCAGAAGCCAAAATTATTGCATATAAGTGATAAAAAATATATACTAATAAGTACTTAAGTTTTCGCGATTGTTACACAATTTTTTGTATTTACATGACTTCTATTTGTAAGGGATAGTCCGCTATAACCATGAGGCCATGTAAAGGGTTCGAAATGTTGGTTTGTTTGAAAAAACAAATATACGCGGCTTAGATATGCAAAGTTTTATTTCAAATGTGTAGCAATCGCGAAAGCGAAAGAACTTGATGTGTATATAGGGCGCACTGTAATTTTCCGGAACTGGCCACTTACATAAACAATTTAAAAAAAGTAATTACAACATTTGAAAATGGAACTCTTTGGCTGTAGAGTACAGTTTGTTTCATCTGACTGTCACTTGTTTTTAGATTGTGGCGTCATTTTAGAAATTGATTGTCTACATCACCATAGAATTAACTCGTGAAAATTTTCGTAGTATGATTTTCTACGATTTTAAGTGTAATTTAACAACTTTGCCGAGCTTCGCTCGTCTTCAAACTGCTTTTGGCGATATAGCACCATGCAAGACGACTATTTATTTATTGGTTTGCAGAATTCAAACGCGGTTGTGTGAATCTCAGTGACGAATTTCGTGATGGTCGCCCGTCCACTACTGTGAACAACAAAAACATCGATGCTGTGTACCGTATGATCAAAATAGACAGGCATATGACATACCATGAGATTCGGGCATCCTTAGGTATAGGCATAAGTCAAATACAATCAATACTACACAAACATTTGGATGTGAAAAAGCTGTGCTCTCGGTGGATCCCACACAATTTGACTGAGGCTCAAAAAACGTATCGCGTCACTTGGTGCAATGCCATGCTTACCAGATTCAACGAAGGGGCGTCAAATTTGGTGTGGGACATAGTAACAGTTGACGAAATATGGATTTATAGTTACGATCCCAAAACAAAGTAGCAATCGAGCGTATGGGTCTTTCGAGATGAGCCGAAACCAACCAAAGTGGCGCGCGTGCAAATTGCCTAAGCGGATGATTGTTTCTTTTTTTAATAAAACTGGACACGTGGCTACTGTTGCTTTGGAGAATCGTTGAACCGTGAATAGTGATTGGTACACGACCATTTTTTTGCCGGAAGTTATTGATCAACTCCGTAAAAATAGCCGTAAACGCCGTATCATCTTGCAGTACGATAATGCCAGTTCTCAGTCCAGTCCAATGACAGACAAATGAATTTTTGAAGGTGAACAACGTTGACCTTATGAGCCATCCCGCGTACAGTCCCGACCTGGTACCTTGTGACTTTTATTTATTTCCAAAAATTAAGAACCAGTTACGCGGTCAACGATTTTCATCACCTGAAGAGGCTGTTGAAGTGTATGAAAAATATGTTTCAGAGATTGTCACGGAGGAGTGGCATAAATGTTTTCAAAATTGGTTCATTCATATGAAAAAGTGCATTGACGCTAACGGAGAATATTTTGAGAAACAATAAATTAATTACTGACCATTTATAGTACTTTTTTCTTATTCATTCCGGAAACTTATAGTGCGCCTCACGTATGAAGACTTAACTTCGTAATAACGATACTAAAAATTGGAATAAAGTTGTTCTTACCCATAAACATCTCAAAGTTGGTATGAACAAACGCAACGCAGGTGGAGCCAAAGAGCTTGCTGACGCTGGAAATAAGACATAACATGGAGTCGTGGAAACCCCAACACTTGCTGAAAACGCTGATGGAAAACAACGCCCCTGTAAAGAGAGAAATTGTTGTAAATTAACGGATAAGTCTCTACAAACTGATACAAACTTAATATTGCCTACGTAAATAAAACTGAGAATTTGCCAGTATTAAACCAGTGGTTAACGTAATAAAGACATAATTTATCAAGTTTATTGAAAGAATTGCACTGTTTAAAAGTGTTTTCACGTACAAGTGCGCCGTGAAGTGCATTGTCGTTTCAATATATTCTCAATTTTGTAGAAATATTCTTTGGATAAGTGTTGAATTTATCTTTATTATTTCAGTGTTCTTAAAAACAAATGAAAGTCGTTGGTATAAGATCAGGACGTACGGAAGTATAATAAATATAATCATGAAAATCACGTGATTATGACGAGTACAGGTGTATTTTTAACTTCTTTTTTATGATACTAAATGACGGTAACCGAAGTGCCTGTCCATAGCAGTTGCAGTGCCACAGAGTTTTAAATCGCAAAGATCTGAGGGGCACTGCAACTGCGCCCGTTACTCTGAGATAAATTGACAAGTCCCATGTGCGTGTAGTTTCACTAACACCTTTGCCCTTTAAAACTGAAAAGAAGTAATGCTCGCATTACTGCTTGACGGTATTTCTGCCAGTTTCAGTAATATGAGGTGGCAGTACTTCCCTGCAGGAACTCTTCCACATGAAGCTCTACTAAAAACTTTATCAATCAATTATTTATTCAGACATAAATCTCATTACATTAAATTATACATTACACACTCATTACACGGTCAAAATAATTTGAAAGCAATAAATATAATCTCAGTACAGAGTACTAAAAAAACCAACTGGAATTACATTTATTTGCGAAGTTTTATTGAAATATCCCCTAGTTCGCCACTATACAGGACTTGACACAGGGGATAATAAAAACCGGTTCTTACTACTCAAAGTATATTGAGAGAGAAAAACGCCTTGAATTGGAGAATAGCAAAACCAACTATTAAAATAATTGCTCCTTAAGTAAAATTTAGGCGCTATTTATAAAAATGAATCTTCATGCGTGATCAGCCACCCTTCGAGGTGGATGATTTTCTTCAAAATGAAATGGGACCCTCTTTCCAACAAAAAAGAATCATGAAAATCGGTTCACAAATACCGGAGTTATCGTGTAACATACATACAAAAAAAAACATACAGAAGAGTTGAGAACCTCTTCCTTTTTTTGAAGTCGGTTAAAAATTAAAATACAATTAATATTTTTTTTTTTAAATTGCATTGGGAACATTAAAAACAAAGTTTGCACAAGTTCAGTCCTGGACTTATTTAGTCTCTCTGTAAAAGACCATTGACGCTTTCGTAACAGGGCGTAAAAATCGTCTACCCTATTCAGGGCAAACATGCTAGAAGCGCTGCATACGTAATATTGCTCGAAATGCGTTGTTTTACTGTGTAATTGTACCACAGCTGACTCGCAGACAATATGAAAAATCCGAAACAGAGCAACTTTTACTTGGTCTGAGTGCAATACGCCGCGTCAACATATTGCTCTTCACTGAGATGGCTCCGTATTGCCTCTCAAGGTCCTCGTCATCCGTAAGTCTGTCTGTAATAATGTGACCCAGGTATTTAAATGTAGACTAGACCAGGTATGTAAATGAAACTACTTTTAACGTTGATCTAAGTAACGTAATCGGCGCAACAATGTCTGGCCATATTTAAACACTATCAGTTCTGTCTTTAAAAAACATAGAAATCCGGATCGCACTAAGCTATCTGACATACGGGCGTATCATTGTGCAAAGATAATTGCGATGGATGTATTACACAAGCTGCAGAAGCCGATGACCAATAGACCAAGGACCGGCACCAGAAGCATCGCTAGAAGGCTAGAAGGACGGACCTGGAAACAAATATTCCAAGATCGGAGGGAACGGCGTGCAAATGGGGAGATCTTCACTCAGCAGTGGGGGACTAAAGGCTGAAGATGAAGAAGCTTGCATATTGCGTGATCTGGGCTTCTTTTTCCTTTTATCGTGTCGATGCTTCTTTTTTAGGACTATATTTAGTTTCAATAGTATAATAGTGTTGCCATCTTGACTACGTTATCCGTGGCCATGTAGAGATCTTCCCTCATATAGGTTTGTTGTGAGCTATGTTGAGGCATCGCAGTCTCACTAGGTTAGACAAGCATCCCTGAAACCCCATTTACATGTCTTGTCTCTGCAGCGCCCCACCTGAGTTCGAACTCCATTTAAGGACTTCCGTAAGGGCCACCGGATATCGAATGATCTGGGCTAAGTATTTACCTAACACAAGTTAGGAATCTCGCTCTTTACATTAAAAAACAGGTGAGCATAATAAGGTAATTAAAAATAAATATAATAATTAAAAGATTATACAGATAAAACAACAAGTATTTTTCGGAAGACGCTCGACCTGGTTTGTGACAGACGTATTTAGTTTGTACGTTCCACAATGGACATAAAGCTCATTATGCTATGCATACAAAAATTTGCTTCCATTCAGTTTCGCGATACATATCCTTAATGAAAGATTAATAAAATTATTATCAAATAATTCTGATTTATTTGACTTTCGTAAAAATTCAATGGAATCTAATATATGTAAAACCAAATTCAATTGTTCTACGTAAGTAGCGCATTGTTCGAGGGATAATGCGGTGCGATCCTATCAAATGAAAGGAGACATAAGTCAAATTTTTATACAAATAAAAAAGTGCACGCCAATGGAAGTCACATTGTCACCGTTAAACGATTAGGTTAACTCTGGATTCCGCTCACTGTTGCAGTGAGAAGCCACGAGTATCAGAATAAATATCAAATGATATAGTTCGTACTGTCTAGGATGTTGAGATCGAGCCGTAAGAGTATTTGGTCATCCGGTCATCGGTCATCATAAGTTCTATTTTCCAAAACTACAATACTCATAAGCTCCATGGCCAATTCATTCCAATTTTGTGCCATACATTCAGTCGAAAGACATCCATTAATAACCATAGGCTTCCCCAAAGATCGCTATTATGTCCGATTGTGCTCGCATACATCTCTACGTCATCGTCTATCGACGCCGAATCCTCAGGTATTATCCGCTCACGCGATACATGCAGCCGTAGACGCATATCACACCTAGAGATGCCGGTGATGATTTTATACCGATTTATCGGATATCGAAGTTATAATAGGTAAAAGAACTAACATTAATTGCTATTTCGGTAACTACTGCGAACCATAAAGTTTTTAATTCCCTGGGTCTGTCATTTAAAAAAATAAACAACTTCAAAAATACGTCACGACAATCGTGAGTGTTATTGTTTGGGCTGGTGATTTCGGTGTTTATTTATTGAAAACATAACCGTAAGTAGCGTTTTTTAAATTTACCCTAAATATAAATGTTTATAAACTATACTTTAAGGAGTAATTTCATGGTAAACGTTAGAACCACTCAAACGGAATGTTATCATATTTATCCAAGTACACCAAAAATTTCATTAGTGCTTTTTAAGAGCAGGATTTGCGGTGTATTACTGAATTTTATTTGAGATGTTTTTGTTAGTAGTACGGAGGGTATTTATTTAGCAATGCAGAATAATAATTTTTATTTACAAAAACTTGCATTTAAACTGAATGCTTTTCGAATTTGCGAAACCAAATAGCCGCCATTTTGCGGTAGGAGGAGCGCATCGCGTGAGCGGTTATTCGGCCTCGTCGGTTATCTGTTCTACGAGTAATGTGCCCCGCCCACTACCAGTTAGTTTAGTTGTCGTTTCACTACGTTGGTTATTATATCCTGATTAATTTCTAATTCGATATTGAAGACAAATTCCGAGAATAGAACTACACGTAGGATCTACTATTTCATTATTTTACAATAGGAGAAATAAACACTTTACCTTCATTCTAGTTACTTTCACCTGATTCCTTAAATTGTCGTTGTGACAATAAAGAATAGTTATTTCGATTCTTGATACTATGACTTATTACACTGTTATATAATAAGTACCTTTAGAACCTTAAAAATACTTACCGATTGAGTGAGTAAGGATACTATATGTAGAGTAAATGCTGTACATTACTGCATCCCAGTTGAGTTTGTATCTTAAGTACATATACGTCACTATTCTTTCCCCTGTTAATAGAAACAAAGATATTGTAAAGAAGTTTATATAGAAATATAGACAAATAAGGAAATTTTAACACGTGTTATAAGGAATATATACATTTTTGTTAAGACCTTAGAGAATAAGAGAGGGAACATTGTGCCGGCACACAATTTTAAAAACACCAGAGAAAGAAACATCGAGAAAAAATCGAGGATGGATGGATAAGCACAGATCCAGGAAAGGGAAGGTAAATAGGTATCTAACCGTCCTTAGTACCTGGGCACCTATCCAGGAACAAACGTTCGACAAGAGTGTGACTGGAAATTGACTACAATGACATTGCAAAAATTGGATAAGCTTTGTGGTATTTTTTATAAGCTCGAAGTACATTTGAATTTCTTTCAGCAAGTTCATACGATGTTATCAAATAATACAGTAATGCTTTGAATAATACTATCTACCGTTTTGTACGAACTTTATTTATTACATATTTTTTTACATTTCAGTCTATTTATTGCAATTTTAATATACGATACTTCTCATAGCTTTCTAGCGGTTTATATAATTGCCAATTACCTACATATATACGAAAATGTATGGATCAGTATCAAAAGGATCTGAAAATAAAATATATGAATATTTAATAAATATCAAACTTATGGCCATACATTTAAGGCACTCATTGAAATTAAAATTCGTCAGCAAAGATTTTAACCCAATGTTCAGACAAGTATTTGGTTAGTCTCACTACTCATATAATTTTGATATTTAGCTACTATGTCTGTAGTTGTGTAGAAAGTAAAGCAATAAACAGCTCTTTTCCGAAAATCCGTTTATTGCGGACTCAAAATCAGTTACACTTTGCACGAACTAACCAGAATGAAGTCTCAGAGGATTTCACATTTCAGTAGACATCTAGTACCAAACTCCACTATATTGGACTACATTTATATACTTATATATACAGTGATCTGAAAGAGGGTACAAGTTTATTTGAGATTTCTATTTTATACACTCGTATTGTCAATGATTTTAAGAACATACTCAAGTATATAAGCAATAAGTACAGAAGAGAAAATATAAAAGATGTGCACGTACAAAAGTTCGTCGTGCGCAGAAAGAATAATTAATCGGGTATATTAATACGGACCGGTCATTGCGAATAATGACCAAGAGTATTGGTCAAATTATATGGCTGGTACGTGTAAATAATGCTCGACTGCCCGAGGTCCATTACAAGCTTAACATGGTTTGAATTTATCACTTGATCCGGGCACAATGAATCATTCGCTCCTTCTCGCGGGCAATAACGTAACCTCATCTAACCTAACTAAAATACTAGAGATCATTTGTTTAATTAATTTGATGTAGGCATTATTAACACAGACCAGCCATTATTCATAATCACCGATCATATCAAATTGCTCGTATGACTTACATGGGTAAGGGAGATTATTCGTAAGCTCAGTTAAATGTATCTGAAACACTCGGCACGAATGACTGGTAGGATCATTGAACAGCGGGGTCATTGAAGACTCTGTCGACAATTAGTTACTTGATCCTATTCTTTAAAGTATTCTATATTATAAGGTATTACAAAAAGGTCCTCTATTACTTTGTACTAGGAAATATTTTATTACACGTCACATGTCGTTTTCAGCCGACAATTATCCAAATACTGCAAAAGAAGGATGGTGAAAGCTGACCCAATAATTATAAAATCAACGAAGAGTCGTTCATGGACTTTGCTAGTATAATTTTACGTTTTAGTTTATAGCTAGTTATCAATATATTTTTGTATGTTCTTAGAAGTCCGCAATAAAGAAATTGTAAAACAATGTATTTAAGAATAAATGCAAGAACATAACGCAATTGATTAAGTTTGACCATAGACTAAGTAACGTTCATGTATGCACGTTTCATTTTAAGCATTATTGAATGTTAACCTACCTAAAGTAATAGATATTTTATAGTATACATATAAAAAATTAAGGCTATAAAATACCTACTCAAATAATAAATTAAACAGTAATGACATAGAGTAAAAAACAAAACGCAATGTGACAAAAATGTTTAGACAATATTTAAATGAGAGATAAGAAAGTTGGCAAAGGAACGTTTTGTCTAAAGGCCTCTTGCCAATGTCAATGTGACTATTTGTAGCAGATTTCTGCCGTTTGGGCAGATTTAATATTTTTTCCTTTTCGTTCCGGCAGAACATGTTAACGTTTTATTAAATGTTAGTGTCAAAGTTTGGCAAATTTGTGACTATTCAACAAGTTCTCTATTAATCTATGAAAGAATTATCACCCAGTTAGTACCTTTACAGCTACCAGTCCTGGCGAGAGATGTCGCTATTCACTGTATTAATTAAATTTTTATTGAGTTGATATTCAATTCTTTTTTGGGAAATTACTCCACTAGTTTGTTATAATTATTAATACAAAGATCGAACACTCAGAAAAAATTTCTTCGATCCGGTCGGATTCGAACCGACGTCTTCTTGCATACCGTGCCAGACGCTATACCAACTAAGTCACGGAACGAACCAACGGACCTCACGAATTTTTCTATGTGCTTGAGTCGTGTCTTTGTATTGGGTTTTTCAACGACTTTTTAGTCGTAGCGCCATCTATGAGAAATCTATGAAAGAATTATCACTCAGTTACCAGTTCTCTATAATTTTTGGGGAAAAAACTGAAAACTTGTTGTTATCTGCTACTACGAACAAACATCTGAAACGAAATACAGGACAATGTTATAAACATTATATATATCAACTCATAACCCAACTTCTATAGGCTGTATGTAATTAGCTTTTTTCATGCTACGATAATAAATCACAAGTATTGATAGGTCTCTTTAATGCACGTCGTGAAATACTGGCTCACCACGGGATGTCGCTATCCTTCTTTCTGACATTTACCACGAAACCATCAACCTACCTTCTGGGAGTTCTATGGCGTATGTGCTGTTAGTATGCGGCCTCTAGTTAATACTAGTCTTGTTTACCGATTCAACTCCATAAGTATCTTTAGTTCCATATTTTTCTAATCCTTTTACTGGTTTTCCGATAGCGCAATGTAATATAGAACATTGACCTCTCAGTTCTCTGAACTATTCAGTTGAATTTTTGTGTAGGATATGGTTCGGTAACGTTCTATGTGAAGACAGATATTACACATGGGTCTTTAGCTTGATTGACAGCTTCGCCAATAACTTTGTCTTTTTGTAGATTTCGTTTATTCTGTGTACTATTGACTTCATCTTTTTTAGAACATTTCATCGTCTATATTTCCCAACGCTCTCATGTTCATTCTCATGTATTTTTAATAGTAGAGCAAATGAAGTAGATAGAAATAAATACACAGAGATAAACAGAGTATGAGAACATATAATGGAAATTCGTATACAAGGTTTGTTTATTCACCAACTAATCTAGTCTGGCTTAGAGAGTGGTGGCACCGGCGGCAACTTTGCTCTTAGCTCAACTGCTCTTAGCTGTAGGATTAGGTAAATTGAAGTTTTGGTCTTATTAGTGATTTTGCACACGTCTTCATGCGCAGTAGTTGTAAGGTAACAAAATTTGAATAGTTTCAGATTCTTTTTTGTAATTGTGCTTGGACATATTTGAGAAACGCTAAAAAGAGGTTGATTACGATAACAATGTTCATTATGAATCTCTGGCCACATATACTAAAAACGTCTAATTAAAAATAACTTATTGTAATTATATACTAATAGTATAATAATTATGAGTAAATATATTTTAGTACCCAACCTAACGATATCTATGTACTAGACTAGTGTACCCAACCTGAATATTTGTTATTGATTTCGAATATTTTTTTTACTATGGCAGAGCATTATAAGATGCACATAGCCTTAATTCGCTGAACCTTTTCATGTAGCTTTTTTTCGATAATTGTGGCCCAAGCCTTACCAGGTTTTTTTTTTTTACTTATGTACCGGGAATCTTATTATTATGCGATATGAAGGGAAAGTACTTTAAATAATTATAGATAGGATATTTTGCTTCATGGAGACATTACTTTTTTTTAAAAGTAATAATAAGTCCAGATCCTGTGCAAAATATTAAATACAATGTACCCACGAGAGCTCATCGACGGCGTATGCGCTCCTACCCGCTATTTGAAACGGCGCGCTGCCGAAGAAATGCTGGCAAGCAAGTTCCCCTACGTCGCGTTGTTTCTCAGTACAATGTTTAGTGTTATTGATATATTTCATTTACCTGCTTCTAAATTTAAAAAAGCTATTATTGAAGCCTTGACTTAATTTCTTTGTTTACTGTTTACTTGTTTCAGTTTTGCTTTACCCATCACACATGGCAATTTCAATTTCAACTTTATTAATAATATGTGGATAATGTTGTTGATTGTACGTATTGTTACTTAACCTAACAACAAATGTAATCCAACCATGTACAATTGTTTGTAATACCTTGAAAAGAAAAAAGAAAAATACTGTATTCAAAGATTTTTGAAAATTGCTTTCTAAATGTGAAAAATGCCTTATTTCTAAATGTGAGAAAAAAACATCGTGTGTTTTTATGATGGCTTTACGTGCATAGATAAGCTTTTTATTTTTTTAAACCATCTTTTAGAATACATTTATTAGTTCAACTTTTATTGTTGGCACTACAAGCTTGAACGAAGCATAATTGCCGCGGGCATTAGCACTTCCACCAAACAAACGTCGGTTCCACATATAGAGTTCAAGTGTTTTCTCACCTGTTCTACTGTGATCCCCTCACACGTAGTAGAGGTGTGTGTAGCTTTTCTTTTCCTCAGCATATATTGCGGTGGCCCCGGGAGCGGCAGTCCCCCTCAGAACCATAGACAGTGAGCCGCGGGTACGCTTACGTTCAACCTAAGTCCACTCGTCCTTTTGGTCATTTTCGTTACTGGTTTTGGAGGTTGAGCAGGCAATGAAACACGTGATGACATAGAGTCAGTATGTAGAATACTAGGGACTGACTGAGGAGTAGAATTTTCCTTCTGCGTATGCTTTTTTGTACTTTTTGATTTGGTTGCAGTGATGCTAGGCGTCTATGTACAATTAGGTAGGCTAGAAGTTTCCGTTTTGTCGGTTACGGTCTCAGTTAATTGCCTCCGAATGTCATTGTCATTATTGAGCTTTGATAGTACCGTAGATTGTGCGCCTGCAATTTCTTTAATAGCAATTTCTTGCTTTTGAAAGTTATCATTTATTTGCGCCATAATCGAAACAGGTGAATCCATCACAAAATTACTGGAAAGCAGATTTAATTCATTCACTTGGCCATTGAGTACTGCGATTTCGTTGGAGAGCATCTTAATTTTCAGTCAATCAGCGCTAGAATTAAACAATGACAGTATATCATCTAGTTTGGCGTTGGAAAATTGTATAGATTTTTTGTAACCTAGCATTTCATCGCTAATCTCTTTGAGTTGAGAACATAGACCTGTCTGGATTGACTTGTAAACAGCATTATGAATTTCCGCTGTAATAAGTTCTCGTATTTGAGCCACAGATATACCCGCAGAATTGTTAGTTTCTTGCTAGAGAGGAGCTGGCGCGTTGACGCTCTTTTGTTCTAAGCGTAACATTATCGTGGGCAAGACCTTTAGTCGCATTACGAATGGGTGTTTCAGAGTTATCACCACATCTCCTCATACGGCTTTTGCATGCTATACATGATGTGAGATATTTCTCAGTCTCATATTCGCTGTCCAAAGATGGTATGTTAGCGCATATCCTATGGTAGATTGAGTGATGTAATGAGTAAGTCAGTCATCAGTTTCCTCATCACATTCAATTGACTGTTTACCACCTGCACATTGTTTGCTTGACATTTTATTTGATTATTGCGTTGGTAAACTTTGATATAATTTTGAAAATACGCACAGATTTTATTCACAGAGTGATGATGTTGAGTACCGCCAAAACGAAAAGCGCGGCAACTCCGTGTCCAAAAGGTCGTAAGCGCCGTGGAGATTGCGGTGCTTACGCGTTTCTGTCAACGTTTCGCAGAGTTCACTTAGTTTAAAATGAACTTCTTTGGATTTCTCACTAATACGGCTATTAAATATTATGTTTAATGTTTACTAATCACTCCACTAGGTTCACTGTATTAACACCGAATATTTTTGAAAATGTTAGGTAATAAATATTGTTCTGTTATTATTTCTATTAAAATAATATTTTAAGAGAGAGCAAACGGATCGTGCATCAACCGCAAAAAAACCCGAAAGTCGAGTCCTCATTTAGTCCTAGCTTTAATTTGTTTTTTTTTAGTAAGCGACACACTTATCCATGATTGTCTTGTCTTGTTTTATCAAAATTATGAATTGCGTTGTCTTGTAATATTAGTCTTAAATTGTAATGTCGAATAACATAGTAAGAAAACGTTGTGGTATGAAAGATGATGTAGTGACCAGGACGAAGAGCGGGATGGTTCGATGGTTTGGTCATGAAGAAAGAATGAATGTTGATAGACTGACGGTACAAATTTATAGAGCGAATATAGATGGAGGCGTAGCCAGAGGTACACCTTGGCGTATATATCTCGATCAGATTGCGGATGTCCTGAATAAAACGGACATGTATGAAGAGTATGAGTGTGGAGGAAGCGAAGGAGGTTTGTTGGAAGCGTAGCAGGTAGAGGTCACATATTAACATTTTGAATAAAAGAGGTAGTATTTAGCGGCAATAGCACAGTGGGATGGGATCAGGGACTTAGCTGGAGAGCGGAATATATGGTATCGTGACCCGCCGTAAAAATCCAACCGTTTCCAGTTGTTAACGAGGCACACCTCACTCAAGTCGGTGATCTTGTGTAACAGATCGAATTACTTCCGTATTATTTGTTATTATTGTTATAAAAATCATTTAGTATTAATTCTTGACATCAGTGGTTATAATATACATTGGGTGGCCTAAAAAGTCCGCACGTATCAAAGTATGAATAAAAAAAACTTAAATCAAATATGTATTGGTCATATTGATGTAATCTTTCGGGTAATTTTAAAGCGTCTCTTGCATAAAAAACTCCGGTTTTTTTATTACAAAATATTGCTCTATGCGTCTCTTCATTATCAAAGTCGTGTCTATTCAAAGAATTTAGTAAAGACCGGAACAAGTGGAAATCGGTGGACGAGGTAAACATATACATACCTGACTGCAATAATTTTGATAGCCATCAAAATTTGTTGTGTGTAAATTATTGATGTGTATTTTTGCATTCACATTTTTCATAAATTACAAACTTTACCCGCGTATTCTTAAAATACGCGCTAAAATATTATTTTTAAAATGACCACAGAAAATATAACGTTTTAAAAGGAAAAGTTAATTTTTTGTTTAAAACTCGTGGCACAAACCGCACGGACTTTTTGGCCTACCCATTATTTAAGTGTTCTGCTTAAACTTTACTTGCCATGTCCAGGTCCATATAAAATTGCCACTACCAACAACGTAAGAATGATTTTCTTCCTTGTATTGCCTTCTCTTTTCTTAAAAGCGACCATGGCTGTGTCTTTGACTAAAGACAACATCGTCATGCACGTTATGGGGTCCTTCTGAAATATTATTTAGAGTTTTAAATAAGGAACGAAGCGTGCTCAAAATTTTTTCTATAAGCTTTTTTCATTATGGACTTTCATTTCTTGTTTAGAGATAAATTCTTAGACTAAGGTTCAATCAGGGCTCCGTCAATCGCTCGAGGTTATGTGATCTGTGTAGGCACTTACTTGCCTACGCTCGCTAAGTGTATCGCCGACAATGCAAGCGCTTAGATAAGTCTTTTATTTACATTACAATCCTTGTACAACCCCAGCATTCGGTTCCGCACGACTGCACACGGCGTGTAACGTTATTTTCACATCTCTGAGCGCATGCTTAGGTTCCCTTTTCCTCGTAGTGAGCGCCAGATGTGATTAGTCAGATTTAGTAGGCTATAATAACGTAAATATTTTCGAGTTTGTATGAGAGTGATATATCTCTTACGTAGAATCTATTAAGTAATCTGTGATTCAATTTGCATTACCGCGAAATGAAAGCGGTTCTTTATAACCATTGCAAAATTGACTTCACATCAATGGCTTAACGTCCAAATTTGTGCCAAAAAATTATCTCGGGACTTCTTACGGTTATCGTATCGTATCTAGTTTGTATATTACACAATTGATATAAAGTTCATTTTACTATATATAATTTCTCTTCCTAATTGGCTTCCGTTTCGTGGCAATGTACATATTTGTCGCACTTATTTTGCTTCTTCTATTTGTAAAGTACCATCAATTCCTCTACCTGACACAACATGTTTAATATCGAAAAAGTACTTACCTTTTCGTTATCATTATTATTAAGCTTCGTATTACTCTTCAAGCAGAAGAACCCATATACAAAATTCAATAAACATATCGTTCCAGATATTAAAAAGATTCCGTAGTAGCCCAATAACCTTAATAATATTCCACTCAGAGCTGTTCCGATGGGTATTCCAGCTGTCATACATAAATTTACCAGGCCCACACGAAACGTCCTCGATTCATTATCAGTAATGTCACTTATATAACTAAATACTCCCAAATACATCATTACCCAACCACCTGTAAGCGCCGGGAACAAAGCTTCGAAAAACATTGTAACTTCGACTGGAATTTCATCAAAAAATATAGTACTTATCAGGTTACTAATACATGTTAGCAGTTCCCCTAAAATTGGTAGCAGTATACAGAGTTTTCTGTTCCCAGTCCTATCGCTCCATGCTCCCATGAAAATAACAAGGAAAAGCGGTATAGACGTTTGTATAACGCTCTTCCACTGCTCTATGGACGCAATTGTCTTTTGGATATCGCTTTCGTAGTGTGTAAAATTGCCTTCTTTTTTTATTAACGAGGTGCACGCTTCTTCTCCGAGCTGAAATTTTATTCGACATGTCTTTTCCAAATTCAGATTCTGTACTGCTAATCTTGCTAACATTGAGGGTATGACTAGGCCCGCCATTATGGGCTCCACAGTAATGTTTGTTTTCAAATAACATAGTTTCTCGTACCATGTTTTATCTTTCAACTCAGTACTCGATTCCTTCTCTTGTAGAGGTTGTTCCTCAGGCACTGTTTTTTCATTAGACATTTTACACTGTTACACTGTACAGAATCATTGATGAAACTAAAGAGGTTGAAAGTTCTTTGTCTCAGATTGTGTAGTTGTTTTTCACGTACATCGTGTTCTATATTTTTAATTCTTTCAGATTAACGTTTTATGATGATGACATAGACAACATTTATATTTGGCACAATTATTTTTAATCTTTGCAGATGTGGCGACATACATTCAAGATGCTATGACGTAGTAAAAATATAATGGAGTGACAAACAGTGAGATGAGAAATACGGAAAAACTGGGTACACTAAACGTAAAACTATGAACAATATGAATCTTAGAAGATATCTAACTTCTAGAAGTTGCCTGTTTGACATTTAAAAGTCGGTGTAAGTCACAGTTCGATTTTTTTATATGATAAACTCAGTACAAGAAGCTAGGCAAAAAATTACTTATAAGTCATGCTGTACGTCAGCTCGATGTTTGCATAAAAATTAAATGTAATGTATTTACTTGTTCTAAAGCAAATAGCTCCTTCGTCAGGTTTTGATAAGCATAGAGAGCTGTAAATATTGTCAATGATGATGTTTGAAATGCGATATGATATCAACGTTTGTTTGAAGAAGGGGGTCTATGAAATTGTGTTTGTTGATGAATTAGGTCCGTGACTATTTTTACGACTTATTTTTAAACTATGCCTCTGTTTTTATTCACCTCAAAATAATGCTGTTTAAATGATTTAAGAAATAATGTTTAATTTATAATTAGATTTTGTTATGAAGTAAGTATAAAACTTAACAATCTCTATCGGTAATTACATGTTCAAATCTGCACTTTATTCTCTTCATCTACCCTGTTGAGGTCACGGGTAGGTATGTCCTTATACACTACTTGTTTTGTACCTTGGATCACACAAGCCTCTTACAAGCTGCATACAAAAAAAAAGAAAAGTGGAAAAATGAAAAAAAAGGAGTGCTCCTTTGATTTTTCTTTTCTCTTTCGAGTTCCGAATTCACATAGTAATGAAGTCGGTTAAAACTTAATGACGATTCGACTTTGTTGTTCGTCTGTATGTCACAACACTTACCAACTACCTCAAACCAAAATACTTTTTCATAATTTTTAGTCTTTACAAAAAGATTGTCAGATGTGAATTTGTATCCTATTATCATTATCTGCCCATTGTAGTCCTCTGCTGGATTTAATATGTCTCCAATGAGCGCTATTTCTCACGGTCCACAGCTTTAGTCACCAAATTCACCAACTTCTGGTCTCCGCTTAAGAACTCGGTTCCTGGTTATCTGTTTTTCGTCAAATATGAACAGCTTACTGCCATAATGTCTTGCTTACCCTACGAGCTGTCGATGACTTCGGATCTCTGTCGGTTAACCTTATTACATTATCCTTCACAGAAACTCTGAGCGTAGCTGTGCAACTTTAAACTGGTAGACTAGCCGTATCATTAGTGCCTGCATCTTGACGCCGTAAGTCGCAACAGGTAAAACGGACTGGTTCGAAGCCTTTGTTTACATACACTGTAATAATCTATCCTTAAGCGTTACATATAGTCCTTATAGTTGAGTTTGAAGAACAGTGATATCATACATTTACAAGGTTATACTGATGTTGTAAGCATAGATGGTCATTTGAATTATTAAGTAAGAAGACTATTGTTACTTTGGTGTGGAACGTCTCTAGCTTTAACGTCTGTATATGCTGGAAATTATGCCATGTGTATTCTATATTTCAAATTACTAGAACACAGTCAACTATTTTTTTCTTCAGTATGTTCACTAAAATCAGTCTGATATACAAAATCATCTGCATTTAATATATATTTTAAGTTTAAAGCTATATGCTTAATAATAATTGTTATGTACTTTATTTCAGTTTCAAATCCATGTGTGCACACGCATGTGAATTTAAAAAAAATACAACATAAATTTAGTTTAATCTGTTAGTGCACGTAAGTAAAAGTACAATTTGACTTCAAAGCGTTATGCCTATTGTTTTGACGGACCCAGTGAAACTATGGTTCTTTAGTTATATATGAACTTCTACACAATTTGAATTTTCACAAAGGAATTCGGAATTAGTTTATTTTAGTAGTATACAGTTATTCTGCCATCGAAACGAAAAAGGACACAACTAACATTTTTATCAAAATAGAGTTACAAATATATTAGGGTTCAGGAATTAAAGGCCAATTTACTTTTTGTTTGTGGAAATATGTCTCAACAATTGTTGAATATACAGTAACCTTAAAGGGCATGACTTCAGTAATCAGATTTTTTGCTAAAAAGTCATATTTGACGTGTAGGTATTATGTTAAAAACACTAATATCAAAGGATTTTACTTTGTTATGTATGGAACTGCGCCCTTATGTAGTTCAATTACAGTATAAAAACACAAAAAAGGCACAACTGAGTACAATGGTGCCGTCTGGTCCTAGTTAATAGAGAAAACATGTGGTAGGTATTTTATAACATAAATATACTACTTAAAATATCAAATGTATATTTTAACTATTTATCTAGTATAGAAATCTGACCAAAACGACAATTTCGAAGTGAATATCTTTACTTTGTTACATGTTTTATGTTACAGAAGTAACAATGATGTATATCCAGCTGTACTTTCCCATTTTACAATAAAAAATCTTCAAAGAAATTATACTTTAAGAATAATATCTTTCTTCCCCTTTTAACTAAAAGGTTCCTTGAAAAACGCTTCGAAGGAAAGCGCATAAAGCGTGATCGTGAAAGGGTTTTTCCTCATGTTCAAATGTATTATTGTCATGCGTTGTTTAAATCATTGTATTTTGGCTGTTCTTAAAGTGGGTCCACATTTTGGGTCATGATATTTCAACGCAACGATACTTCGTGACTTGACACGGGTACATGGGTATGATTACCTTGATAATGATTGGTCGTAGTTTAAAATTTAAAAAGAATAATGTATTCTGGTCTGTTAATATGATTTAAACTTCACTTTGTTGGCACGCGTTCCGGTTTTGACGGGTGCTGGTGAAATTACAAGCACATGGGACTTACCAACAAGGTGACGGTCTCAGGGTGACGGGCGTAGTGGCAGTGCTCCTCAGATATTTGCGATTTAAAGCTCTGAATGGCACTTCAACTATTATGGACAGGCGTGTACCTTACCATCAGGTGCACAACTTGTTCGTCCCGTCACTTGATATTATAAAAAAAAAATTTGAAAGTTTAACACAGTCAATACCTATTATTGCAAGTTATTGCGTTTTGATTTTATGAAATTTTAGAATGAATTTTTAATAAATGTGCTGTCATCTAGCGGTTAATAGCTGAACGACGACGAATTCGAGATGTTTATTTTGTTCTACAAAAAAGAAACGACCATATTACAGCGGCATAAAGTTTACTTTCGTTTCTTGTAACAAAAAAATTATCACGATAAAAAGGAAATTGAAAATTTATTAAAATAGGACTTTTGATGTTACGAAACTGGGTGTAATTTGTGGTTGTCTATGTGTGTGTCCATGGCACCCGCGACACAGAGTTTCCCTAGTGCGGGGCTATGTTGAGTGTGTGCGTTATTTAAACACCACCATAGATCATATCGCCGGAGATAGTGTAAATCCGCGTATGTATACTGGTAAAAGGCGCGTATCTGCATTATACCATTATTACATGAAAGGGATTTAACGTTATTACTTTTGTATTTCATTGGCTACAACTTTCATTTTTGGGCTGTAAGTATTCATTTATGATGTCTATAGACTGATAACAATGATTTCTATAAATCACGCTAATTTACGACATTTACGTGGATTTAATTTGGCCACTAAATTAGTGAAATGGAAACCCAATCCAATGCTAGTAACGCGTAATTACACTATCCGATACGATATTACAAGTGCGATTACAATTTTTGCAGTCCAAAGTAGCAAAATAAAGCATTTTTCTACGATTTTGAGGTTTTGCGCAAGATAATTGATACGACCATAACGTATAAAGCGAAAATGGCCGACTGAGCTCAAGTTTCTGGAACTCCGCGAACTGTTGGCACACGTGCATCACAAACTAAGCACTTCTACAGTATTTATTGTTCCGTGAGTACTTGCTACATAATTGTGGACGGACTATGACAATTTCAGATAGCGTGACATGTCCAAGTCTCACGGTACTTGCTACGCTAAATGTGGATTATATTTATTTATTTATTTATTTATTTAAACTTTATTGTACAATACACTGAAGTACAAATGGCGGACTTAATGCCATAAGGCATTCTCTACCAGTCAACCATTGGGCCAAACAGAAAAAAAAACACAATAGGTTGGTGCTACACTTAAACAAGAAGAAATAGAAATACTAGAAAACTAATCGATAATTTGTATGGTATAAATAAATAACATACAATAAACATACTTATTATACATACATAATAAACTTACATATATATATTATAATAATAAATAATATGATATATGTACCCAAAGCAACATTAAACAGTGTCTTAATTTTGACTATTGTCAAACAGATGCTTGCGCAACATGCGCTTGAAAGATAATTTGGTCTGAGCTTGTCTTACATGGAGCGGGAGCGCGTTCCAAAGACGAATTGCATGAAGGGTAAAAGAATTAGACAAAAAATCAGTGCGATGAGAAGGAATGGAAAGCTTAAGGCTACGGGAAGATCGAAATTCGCAACCCGGCCGAGCGTTTTGAAATTGAAATGAACATTTAAGATAATCAGGTGCAGCCGGGTCGAACAAGATGGAGAAAAGAGTGGTTAAAATTCTTAAGGACCTGCGTTCACGGATGGGAAGCCAATTTAGTTGACGACGACAAGCAGATATATGGTCATACTTCCGCAGACCAAAAATAAACCTAATGCAGTTGTTAAGAAGACGATCTAATCTATTCAAAAAGATTTGAGAGATGTTACTGTAACACACGTCAGCATAATCAATCACAGGCAACACTAGAGATTGAACAAGGAGAGTTTTGGTTTTAATTGGAAGAAAGTTCTTAAACCTGTATAGAGCTCTTAGTGTATCTGTAACCCTACGACAAACGTCAGACACCTGGGAATCCCACGTAAGGCCTGTGTCAATAATAAGCCCCAGGTTCTTTACCTGATTTGACAGAGGAATCACTACGTTCTCATACATTATTGGTGGCACGCACGACAGATCACAAGACGAAAAAAGGCGTGAGCTTCCAAGGATGATGGCTTGACACTTGGAAGGGTTAACATTGACACCAAACCTTTGGGACCAAACCGAGACGCGATGAAGGTCATCATTAATTAGTACAATTGCATCACTTATGCCACCGACATTAACCTCGGTATAAAGCTGCAAGTCGTCGGCATACAGGTGGTAAGAACATTTGATGCTGGACGTAATCAGATTTATGAAAATAGAAAACAAGAGAGGAGAGAGAATTCCGCCCTGAGGTACCCCGGAAGTGAGTTTACACCATTCTGAGAACGAGCGATCAATACGAATCGCTTGTTGACGATCGCGGAGATAAGAAGAGAACCATTGAGCTGCCATTGAAGAGATGTTTAGGTGGTCTAAGGTAGCAAGGAGAAGGTCATGATCCACGACGTTGAATGCATTGGAGAAGTCAATTAGGACCAGCACAGTAAGTAGAGTACAGTCCATGCCCCTCCCTACATCCTCAACAATCTTTAGCAACGCAGTAGAAGTACTATGACCTGGTCGAAAACCTGATTGAAATGGAGAAAGGATATTGTTTGAGTAAACATAGGCAGACAATTGTTTGTGAACGACAGCCTCTAATACTTTAGAAAGAAAAGGAAGAATTGAGATGGGACGGTAATGCTTGAGGAGGCTGGGGTTAGTAACTTTTGGAAGAGGGATTACATGAGCATTTCGCCACAGAGAAGGAAAAGCCCCAGTCATCATCGAGAAATTAACTACGTGCGTGATAATAGGGAGTATACATTCTAAAATACACATAACCATAATTCTACTTACGTCATCGTGCCCAACAGCATTAGATTTGATTGACAAAACCACTTTCCTGACCTCATCTTCAGTTACTGAGGTGAACATAAAAACAGAATTTGAAATTTTGGGCAGTGCTCTAATAAATGCAATACTTTGCTGTTTGGTGTTGGTGTCTAAAGTTGCAGTTTTGGCAAAGTGAGTATTCAGCTCATTTAAGGAGAAGGAAGAAGTTATATTGTAAGAACTTTGCGGTTTACCTACACCAATGGATTTTAGAAATTTCCAGGTGTTAATGGGGGAAGAATGTAAAATATTTTCATAAATATGTTTACGTTTGGCTGCTCTTACCATTTGATTACACCTATTTCTTGCAGCTTTAAAACGGAGCCAATTTTCCTCACATCGGTCGCGCTTGTATTTCCTAAACGCACGATCTCGTCTTGTCATTGCAATACGGACTGCTCGAGTTATCCATGGCGCAGGAGGGCGCTTTAGTTTGACAGATCGAATTGGCGCGCGAGTGTCAAAAAGTTTCAGAACTGCGGAGTTTAATGAAAACACCGCCTCATCAACTGTTGATGCTGACAACGTAGGGCCCCAATCAAAAGCCTGCGCGTCCTTTTTTAACACTTCCATGTCAAGTCTCGCGAAACTACGTAGTTGAACTGTAGCAGGCTGAGCCTTAAGTGGTTTAATTTTGTAGCTCAAATAAATGAGGTCATGTCGTGAAAAACCTGGTGCCAAAAATTGTCCAGCCTTACCCACGTGATCAATAGAGGAGGCAAGTATAAGATCTAGCCAGGTATCCGACGCGTCTACGTTGTGATGAGTAGGCTCAAGAGGTAGAATGGTTAAAGCTACAGATTCAATCACTGCTTTCAAAGAGCGAGCTCTCATGCTGTCTTTCACGAGGTCTGTATTAAAATCGCCCATGATTATTTGATGAGTGTATTCAGTACTAAGAGATGAGAGTAAAGTTTCGAACGAAGAGAAGTAATCTATAGAAGGAGGACAATACACCACCCCTAGAGCCACTTTTATACCCTTTACCTTGATCTCGATGAGCAAGTGTTCCAAAGAACTGGAGTATAGAGAGGGAGAAGAAGAAACAATTTTGAAAGGAACGTCATTACGGATGTAAATGGCAACGCCTCCGCCACCCTTTCCCGTGCGGTCATTGCGAAGTAATATGAAACCAGGAAGACTAAAAGATGTAGAAGCAAGGTTTGGTTTAAGCCATGTTTCTGAAATCAGAATAGCATGAATATTAGACGAGGAGAAAGTATCAAGTAGATCGTTATAGTGGCTAGGGATGCTTTGGGCATTTATATGACAGACGTTTAGAAAGTTCGTGAAGTTTTGGAATTCGCGCGTTAATGAATCGCCAAGGGTATCAGTATTATGAAACTCAGATTCTGAGCTATCAATAGAAAGAAAAGACGAAGGCGAGTTGCAAGCTGAGTAAAAAGAGTCATCATCTGACATTACGTGTTGCGTAGGTATAAATAGACGTATAATAAATAAATATTAATTGTATAAAAAATAATACTTAATATAAAATAAATGTAATAAAATATAATAATATATAAAAAAAAAAGTTTCGAAGTATGGGTTCTGTGTAACCCACCAGTCGACCATAAATTAAAAACTATAAGACTTTAAAACATAAAACAAGTTACAATGGTTATCGGCCCGCCGCCAGTAAACAAAAAAAACGCATTCCATGAACAATTTCTGAACGCAACCGAACTACTACCAGCTGTCAAAATCAAAAACAAAAATAATCAAATTTTTACAGAGTGCCTAGCCTACCTTAATTACTTTTGTTGAAATTAAAAAATGAAACAAACCTACCTTACGTAAATAATTAAAATTAAACTTTCATCGTGTCGGTACCTAAGTTGTTACAACTAAATAGAATGAAATGAACACAAGATTACAGGTTTGAATAGAAGGTTTAAAAGATATGTGGAAAACTAAAGGGAATCTGTATTTATGTACAGTTCGGCTGCGATTCGAAGTTAAAAAACAAAATGACGGGCACAATACAAACTACACAAAGTAACAATATATAATTAAAAAAGTTATTAAATTTCTCGCCGAGCTCGACGCTCCCCCACCTTCTTTGCGGCAACCTTTGGCGGACCAGCCGGCGCTGGCGCAGCAGTCGCACGAGACACGGTGGATGCCGGAGTCGTCACAGGGGCATGCGACGCAGTTAACACACCCAGTTGCTCGGTGGTGGTCAGGCGGTGTTTCTTACCGCTCGGCAGCTTCACATTAATGTTCCCATCAGCAGTCCAGACATTACGCATTCCGAAATGCCTACGCGCTGCAAGGAACACCGCCTGTCTCTGCTTTGTCAAAAACTCGGTGACCACTATGGAAGAGCCCTTCAGTGCAGTTTTCTTTGACCACACAGAGTTACGCATGTCCAGCTCAGCAAACCTCACCAGTACATGTCGAGGCCGGCCCTCAATAACCCCCCCAAGTCTGTGACAAGCAACAATGGACCTGCGAGTAACATTTGGCAAATGAAGAGTTTTTTGGCAGATGTTCTCAATTGTGCCTACAATGTCCTCATCAGTTGCTTCCGGCACACCGCCAAACAGCAAATATTTCCTCCTGTGCCGCATTTCTATGGAATCAACAGTGTTGCTGAGACTAGAAATCTGCTGCCTAAGCAGCTGCAGAATGCAGCCTACCTGATCTTTAAATGATAGGAACTCCGTGGTGAGGCTGCCAATGGTGTGCGCTTGAGGTGACGCAGCTTTCAGTGCAGCATCAAACTCAGCAAATCGCTGCATCAATGATGTCTCCAAGTTCTTTTGCATCTCCAGGATGTTACTATAAGTTGCCATGACGAAATTTAATGTTTCCAATAATAATAATTAAGTTTTAATTGTTCCGTTATGTAGCGACAGTGCAAAATATTACAAAAGTCCAAAGGTCTGCTGGCAGGTATGTACTAAAATTCACTGAAATGACATGGGAAGTATTCACCAACACTGCACGTGATACATATATGTAATATCTATCAAATAACACGAAATTTATAATAAACTTTAATTGATTTTAATAAATATTTGGCTATTAATGGGAGTGACTTGTTTGTTGTCTCACACCTACCCGCGAAATTTTTTATATTGTGGATTTACTGTCTATATTTCTTTGTGCTTTGATAAAAACCGTCCACACTTATATTTTTGCAACGCGTGTCTATTGCGGTCACGAAATTACGGTGCGTTGAAATGTCACGAATGTGGACCCACCTTAAGAAAACATATTTCGAAGAACGATTACACGCGCGACATTTAGCAGCGATGCAAACGCGATGCAGTCACTAGTCGTCTACCTTTACACACGCTCACGATTCTGAGCAGCGATGCAAGCGCGCCACTGCATCGATACAAACGCGCGATTGCATCGCTACACTTGGGATTTATAGGCGATTGCATCGATGCAGTCGCGCGTTTGCATCGATGCAGTCACCCATAAATCATCCTAATCTGTGTTCATGCTATTACTAGATGGCTGTACGCTAGGTATGCGATGAAGCGAAGGGAATGCCGTACTCAACGAAATCCTGTCAACAATAAATCCCATAATCACATACCTAGTACGTCAGAGAACTACATAATTACGCACATACCTACTGACGTACACGTAGCTAGTTTTTTTTTTGCGTTGTGTATGCACTACAGAAAAATATTTTCAACAAAAATAAGAACATATATTATTCTCGTTAAACTAACGAGAGTTTTGCTAAAAGCATTTTAAAACATGATATTAGATTCCGAGCACATTATTAAAAATATAGTATCAGTCTTGTAAAACGAAGTTTAGTATATTAAAAATTGCGAAGTGGAGTAGAATGGAGTTGGTTAATTGGATCGTAGCAAGTGATCTCTGCCAGTGTATGTAACTACGTCTACACGAAATCTGAGAAGATAGTGGAGTACATCAGACTTAAGACCAAATACAGCCTGAGGGTCGAGCGGGTATCGTATATAGGCAATTCCGCGGCCGGTTAGATACCTGACCTGACCTCAGATTGCGCCACACTTCACCAACAAGTGCAATTTGTGTAGATTAGTTATTTATTTTCTATATTATATGTATGTTTAGTCCTTAAGTTACATATTATATAGGCCATAGTTGCCTGATGTAAATAAACACATAAATATGAATATTATGTAAACTTTCAAAATGCGAATGTTTACAATCGCTTATGATATTAACTGCTGTACTACTTCGGATAATTATGCACAAAGCAAGAGTGGTGCAGGTCTTGAGGGTAGTTCGATAGGGTTGCCTTTTTATTAGTCCTGTAAGCGATGGTGCGCATGAGTCATTCTTACAAGATTACAGTCAGTTTAAATTTCTTATGAACTGGGGGCCTATCACAACCTTTTCAAAAACAATCTTATTTCAATATAAGCATAAAGTAAGCTTATTGTAATATTACTCATTTTCGTACCACGACAAACCAACCAAACAAACCAACTGACCCGACCGGGGATCGAACCCCCTCAGAGATGGCGACACCATGTTGCAAGACACTCGATCACAGAGGCCGTCAATTATTTTTGACATATAATGTGCAACCAATATTTTTGGAATAATCATGATTTTAATATTATTTTTTTTCTATTTAAGTGGATTATGGTGCTTCGCCGGCTGCTACCGTGACACGCTCGCTTCGTTAGCTCGGCTCGCGCACTGTTGTGGTCATAAGTTAATTTTTCGTTGCGCTTGTTGTCGCACCTACATATTAACTTAGTAAATTATTTTGGAAATGTTTACATAAAGTGCATATTATAAGTACCAATCATTGGTATATTAGATTGCAAGATGTTATACGAATGAGTTGTGATAGTTTAAAGAATTTGTCTTATGTCTTTATAGCGTCAAATGACTATGTATATCCTTTGACCGTTGTTATGAACAGTCATTTGTCATTCGTTGTTATAATAGAGTGAACTGTAATCGAGTGAACGGCACCTATTAGACAAACAGCATTAAAAAATATTTTACTTTGTGTCAGAATAAAAACAAAAAAAAAACAATTGTACCAAATTACTGTACGATAATTTGTTCATCCATTAACTCTAAACCGCAAGTCACAAGGTCTTCTTTTTTCTTGACATCTGAATTCCGCCGATCATTTTTGTCTTTGATGTCTTCACAATTGTTACTGTCTGTTGATTTTCGTTTCTTCATACTTTCTTTGTGGATTTTATAGAACCATCTACAAAAGCAAATTATTTAATACTATAAAATAAAGCAATAGTGAAGAAAATCATTGTAAGGATTGTAAGGTTCTTAGAATGTTCGTGCATGAAAGGAACCTCCCCGCACAACGTACCAACTACCATTTCAGAGCAAGAAGCTAGTTCATTACGTCATACCATCGATACGATAATAAGAAGAAGAGTGTTGGAACAATTATTTGTGAGTTTAAGAGCTTAATTATATGTGTGCTTGTGTAATTTCTTCACAGAGACCGAAGCCATTTATAAATAATTTTTAATTGCGTTTATTTGTTTTTTCAAACAAATTAACGGTTCAGGTTTATTACTGGACTCATGCTTATTGCTGACTGAGACGGTATAAGTCATCAACACGCGATTAAGAGTTGATACTACCTCAGCTCGAATTCAATTTTTTCCCGTACTGAATCGGTTCTATAGTCGGGTCGAGTGGAAGGGACACTGGCTTTATTTCAGCGTATATTTTTTTACAAACAAAATTATTTACATTTAAAAATGTATATCGTGTACTATATGTGTTCTACTTAGTTCGGTTGATATTAAAAAAAAACCAATGGTATATGCAGAGTACCTATTGAATACAGCAGTTTTCTTGTACAATTTCGGGGTAAGTTTGTGTTTTTTTGTATTGTGAAAATTTTTAGGATACGTGTTTTCACACCATATACTAATTAGTGTATATCTTCAATTTTACTATACAGGCTGTCCCACAGCTAAAGTACCTTAAATACCGTAGATAGAAAAGTTTACTGAAGGAAGATTTTATTTTTATTTTAAAAACTATTCGAACTGCAGTCAAAGATTTTTAAATAATCGCCTGTCTGAACAGGGATAAGAACCCGCCAAATTTGAAAAAAAAACCATTAATTTTACTATACTGATCGAAAGTTTCAATCATAAAGATTGTTTTCTACTAAATAACATAGCATCATACCCGTTCACGCGATGCTCTCCTCCTACCGCAAAATGGCGGCTATTTGTTTTCGCAAATTAGAAGAGCATTCAGTTTAAATACAAGTTTTTATAAATAAAAATTATTATTCTGCATTGCTAAATAAATACCTCCGTACTACCAACAAAAACGTCTCAAATAAAATGCAGTAATACACCGCAAATCCTGCACTTAAAAAGCACTAATAAAATTTTTGGTGTACTTGGATAAATATGATAATATTCCGTTTGAGTGGTTCTAACGTTTACCATGAAATTACTCCTTAAAGTATAGTTTATAAACATTTATATTCAGGGTAAACTTAAAAAACGCTACTTACGGTATATTTTCAATAAATAAACACCGAAATCACCAGCCCAAACAATAACACACACGATTGTCGTGACGTATTTTTGAAGTTATTTATTTTTTTTAAATGACAGACCCAGGCATTAAAAACTGTATGGTTTGCTAGAGTAGTTACCGAAATAGCAATTAATATTAGTTCTTTTACCTGTTATAATTTCGATATCCGATAAATCGGTATAAAATCATCACAGACACCTGTGGTATGCGTCTACGGCTGCATGTATCGCGTGAGCGGTTAAATAAGAGGAAGACCATGAAATTTAACAATACCGGTAATTTAAGGTTACCGCCGAAAGGGTACATCCCCTCCGTGTGGCATAACAGTGAGACGCCCTGTATATATTTTCTTCAAAGTGACTGATTAAACACTTTCACTGTTATGACACACGATCAACCAAAACCATTTGAGGTATTGACTCTTAATTTCCAAAAAACAGTTTCATATCCAAGAGTTCTCGTCAATCTTATAACTAAAAATATACAAAAAGGACATTACCCAAAAATGAATACGGCGATCACTGTTATACCAGCACTGACGTAATAAACGAAACCGGCATCATATTTTAGCGTTACCATGTACATCCAGGAGTACAATGGGACGAAGGTCAAGGAAGCTACTTCCGCAGTCAGGTTGAAGACAGATTGTAGCTTGCCTGAAAATTTGAGAATTGAATAAATTAATTATAAGTTAGACTGTAACAGCGGTACTAGAAGCAGGGCTCGTCATTCGCTCAAGGTTACATGATAAGTGCCTACCGACACTTAAGTGTATTTCCGACAGTGCAAGCGCTGCTACAAGTCTTTCATTTACATTACAATCTCTGTACAACCAGAGGCGGCTCGTCCCAAGGAGCGCTGGTGCAGTGAACTCCCACTCCTATCCAACCCACCAAAATAAAATTATTAATTAATATTATGTTAATAGCCGCTGTATTTTTTTTTATTAATGAACGGCAAACATCAATTAGATTTATATCTTTCTCTGTTATAGAATAGCATTACAAAGGGTCGTGTTCTAGAACTCTACTCAATGCTCAAGTCAGGATTTGAGTATGGTTTAAAGCACTTGAAATCATACTCAAGTCCTTGCCATTACGGTCGTATTTCCAGTGCTTGAAATCATACTCAGATCCTGACTTGAGCAGACTTGAGTATGATTTCACTGGAAATACGACCCTAATAGCAAGGACTTGAGTATGATTTTCAGTGCTCACTGCAATACTCAAGTCCTGGAAGGAAAGTTCTGGAATACGACCCTAAGACTTATGAGGAGCGCTCGGCGATGCGCTCCTATGAACCGAAATTGTTTACAAAGTTCAGTACTAAATTCAATGAGTGCGAAAGAGAAATTTGTTTACGGCGTGACAAGTGAAACAAAGGATTAGTATGAGAAGAATAGCAAGATTTGAGCGGCGCTTCGCACAACGTTGCCTTGTCGTGCATGCCCGATGATGCGACTACTAGCACTCCGCCTCGGTGTGCTGTTGCCAGTTTTATTTGTCAAATAAACAAATAGTATTTTCTCCTCGCACATTTTGTTGTGTTGTAAACAATGATGTTATAATTGAAATGATATTACGTAAAAATCAATATTATTCTATCATGAAGCATGGCATTGTTTGAAATGGAACAATATAATATGAGTTTCAGTTTTAATTTAAAGTACGTGTAGGTAAGTGAACTCCCACTGAAATCTTTCACGAGCCGCCTCTATGTGCAACCCCAGCATTCAGCGCTTATATTCGGCATTTATAATCGATTAGCCCACTTTAGACAGTCACTTTATCGCGTGTGATCAGGAGCATACAGGATTGCGCGAGGAAAAGCCTGCACGCGCAATTGTGCGCGATTCCCCGTTTGAATTCTTGCGCGCGCGATTGCTTGTTTTCGTTTTTGTTACAAAGCGTTCGTGTAAAGGATAATCGCGCAGGATAAACCGCGTGAAACTGGCGCGTGTAGGAGCGCGCGATTGCACGCGCAATCACGCGGTTTTTCCCCTTTCTTTCCATTGTCTTTAGACGCGCGTTCAATCGTGCCTCAAGGTTACCTATTTCATCACGGCTGACTAGTTTAGAGGAGATGGATCGTAGTGCTGTGGTAGACGTTGCGTTGAACGTCTCGATTGCTACTGCTGAAAAATAGAAAAAATTACATCAAAGTATAAGGACATCTATTTAGTAATAATAATAAACGTTGTAATGTTTACTCAAAACTTGAAAATTGTACAGTCAAAACAATGGGCAAACATCTTCAGGATGCTATTGCCACTGTCACAAACTCGCTTTGGCAGAGACGATACTTTTTTCGCCTAATGGTATAAAAGTCATCCGTTCGCGCTTCAGCAAACTTGCCGGATGCACTGCAGTGCCGTGGCAGTTCCAACAGCATCCTGAAGATGTTATTGTACTGTACTCTTATTGAGCTGTTACATACAGCTGTGTATATCTAATCCATAGACCACTCGAGTACATTTACTGACAAAAAGCTTTAAAAAGCGTAACTTTCTCCTCTATTGTACAACGAGTGAATCTACGGGCCAGCTTGTTTCCTCTCACAGCCAGCGCTCTACGCTCCCTTGCAATATCTAGGTCATCTTTCACGCAGTCAGTAAAGACGTGATCGAGGTATTTAAACCTATCTACTCTATTAAGAGGCGTGTCTCCAAGCGTTAGCGATGGTACAACATCTGGATAGCATTTACCTGCCTTTACGACAAGCAGTTCAGTATTTTTGAGTTGTACTACAGCCCCTGCTTGGCTACAAACCTCTCACACACTTTGAGTAGTTTCGTAATATAACAATATGTAGTTTTAATTTATATGTGTTTCTTCAAAATCAATTAGCACGCAGCAGTGGCGAACGGTCCTTGTAACACGATTTCTATCGGCTTGCCTAAGAAACTGGTTAACGAAGGAATAAAAGAACTAATCTTGTTTTTAATCAACTAAATGTTTATATTATTTTATTCAGCCAACGCATAAGTACCAGCTAGCATTTACAACTTTATATATTACCGAGAGTGTGCGAGGGAGTTGTTGACTAGACGTAGGCTGGTACTCCACCGTCATGTTATGAATATTCCACGGATTCGTACGAAGGGTTTCGCTTCCATATTTAAATATATGGCGAACGGTAATGGAGTGGAATTGCCTGCAGACGCCCTGAACGCTATAACACGGGCTTTTTCAGAGAACGAGTAAATAGGCATTATTTCGGTGCGCATGCTCTATCATCGATTTCATCGTCACTTTGCATCATGTAACATGGAGTTCAAATGCACACTTATTTCTTAAAAAGTAAACTTATCGAGTTCTTAGGTTTTCGCAATTAGTAAATGAAACTATTTTTCCGGATTTAAATCGCGTATATTTGTTTTTTCAAACAAACCGCCGTTTCGGGCCCTTTGCAGGTCCCATGGTCACGGTTAACTGTGTTGAATATTTTTCATGCAGTTAATTGGGAGGGTGGGAAAATTAACTGCATAAAAAATATTCAACACAAGCGCAGCTATTTTGCACGATTTACTGGGTTCGCGGAGTATCAAATTAATTTACTTCCATTTTTAATTTCAAATATGTAGTCTCCGCTATTGATACTAACAATTATATAGATTTTTTTATTAAAATTACTGATCGGAAGTTATGTATATCAAGTTTTCACTAGCAGATAACGAATATGCCGCAGCTCCGTGTACCATTTCCATTGTGACATTGTTCTATGAAATTGAATATCATTTGATTGTTTAGTAACGTTCTAATTATACAAAGCTCACAGAAATCTACAAATTAAAAGTTTATAAAAAAATATCCACAATCCACCTCCATCAGTGCACGTGCAGTGTGGTGATGCTGTTGACGAGTTTGGCCACCGTGGCCTCTCGTGTACACGAAGCGCTGGCCGGATTTCCCGACACGCAGCGCTCAGTAGCAAGGTCGTAAGGGCCTTCACCAGCGCTAAGATACCGGCACTTCTGAGCCTACTGACATCTGTCGTAGTGACGGTAAGAGACCTGACCGTATGACTGTCGGTCCGTGGAAGTTAGAGAGACAGCTGATGTGGGACGCATCGACGATGGCTTCTTTCATCGGCATCCCACCTTTTTGTCACCCATTTCTCTAGTTCCCGGCCATTAACTTTTGAAATTTTGAATCGTTCTCTAATTCTGTTTGTTCGTCATTCTTACTTGTTTATTTGTTTCGTTCCGTCGTCACTCCTTACAAAATTCTCGAACCGACAAGACGTGCTATCTCTCATCATGTATCACTCCATACTAAATTACAAATACAATTTCTTATGTACGTTTTATAACGATATAACGTGTTTGTGCAACACACACATTTTTATGGAAAAGTTCAAAATATCGAAGCTACCTTAATCAGTTTTTGGTTCGTCAAGAAATGAAAAACCTCTACAAGGACATCATCAAGGCTCTCAAGTCTACAATCTACTATCTACAGGACATGCTTGGGCGGTGCCGGCAGACCCGCGTCCTTGCAGGCGTAAGTGGCGCAGGCTCTGGCCGAGAACCATAAAAGGCTCAAATATACTTGCACTAACTTTGCCAAGTGCTACACCATTGTGACTTTTGCGGTTGAAACCCAAGATCCTTGGGGGCTACAGGCGACACTTCTAGCGATGAGCTGTCGGATCGCTTCGTAGAAGTCTCCGGTGACCACAAGCCGGGCAGTTCTTTTCGCCAAAGAATAAGTTTAGCAATTCAAAGGGGAAATGTTGCCAGCCTTCTGGGCACGACGCCCCAGGGTACAGCCCTCGATGAAACTTTTAGTTATAAATTTTAATATGTATTATCATTTCTTACTTTAATAATTATAGTAATATAGTGCTAGAGTTAATGCCTATAAAAATCGACTTACCTAGATACATGTGAAAGCTGTTTTGAGCCAAACCAGTAACCAGCGCACCGGCTATTCTGCTGATGTTAGAAATAAGACCCAACACGGAGTCATCCCAGTGCAATTTACGACTGAAGATGCTTATTGACACCAAAGCCCCTGAAAATGAGAACAAAGCTACTAGAAGCTTACGATTTTTGCAATGTAGTTTCTTTTGTTAATACGTAGAAGCACTCAGTGAAGAAATGTGAAAGTTCGTGATATTTGTTACACTGAGTTTCAGATATCCAAAAAGATAGAATAGATATATAAATCTGCAATAGATTTCTCATAGATGGCCCTACGACTAAAAAGTCGTTGAAAGACCAAGTACAAAGACACGACGCAAGCACATAGAAAAATTCGTGAGGTTCGTTGGTTCGTTCCGTGGCTTAGTTGGTATAGCGTCTGCCACGGTATGCAAGAAGACGTCGGTTCGAATCCGACCGGATCGAAGGAATTTTTTCTGAGTGTTCGATCTTTGTATTAATAATTATAACAAACTAGTGGAGTAATTTCACAAAAAATAATTGAATGTCAATTCAATAAAAATTTAATTAAGATAGAATAGAGTTTTTAAAAATTTTTTTTTTTCATAATATCAAGTGACGGAATGAACAAGACATGCGCCTCATGGTAAGCTACACACTTGTCCATAACACTTGCAGTGCCACTCAAAGCTTTAAATCACAAACATCTTAGGGGCACCACCATTTTTCGCGTTTTCGACTGATGTTTAACTACGCTAACGACCAGGCGCGTTCTGAAGCGTAGCAGCGGAAACTAGGCGTTTATAGCTTACGTTGGGCACCCGAAGTAGGTACTTGCGGTGTCTATTTAGATATATGTCTGTGGTAATAAGTGTGGTGCTTCCTAAGCGATCAGGATATTTATGAAGCTTACTTCATATATAAACTTAAGAATCGACGCAGATTTTGAGGTCGTCCAGGGAAGTACTCCCACCGTACCTGTTTCTGCCGCCAAGTAGTAATGTCAGCATTACCGCGTTCCGGTGATATATTTCTTAGTTTGATAATAAGAGTGCTGGCGAAATTACAGGCACATGGGATTTGTCGACTTATGTCTCAGGGTGACGGGTGCAGTGGCCGTGCCTCTCAAATCTTTGCGTTTTAAAGCTATGAATGGCATTGCAACTGTTATGGACAGGCGTGTAGCTTACCATCAGGCGCACGACTTGTTCATCCCGTCACTTGATATTATAATAATCTCAGTACAGCTTATTAAAAAAACCGACCACAAAAGTTATTCATCCCTTAGTTTGCCACTCTAGAGGTGGAATATTTTCTATAAATTTAAATGGGACCATTTGAGGTACCCTTTTTCCAACAAAAAAAGAATTATCAAAATCGGTTCACTAACTATCGCGTAACAAATATAGAGAATATAGAAAAAAAATATATAGTCGAATTGAGAACCTCTAAAGGTCGGGTAAAAAAATGTAACAATGTAAACAACTCTTTGGATTTTCATGGTGACAATTTTACAGGAGATATTATTTGTACAATAAGATATGTTTCTATCACATTATCAGATTAGTTTTGTAGGCAAGAAATAATATCGGCAATATTTTGTATTATTTTTTCATTCTCAATTCGAACGTTGTGGACAAATATAATTGAATATCACTTACCACGTTGCATATATAAAACGTAGTTGTATTGTGGGTATTATTTATACATAGTCTCACTTTATCTGTATTTGTACAATACTAAATAAGTAAATAAAGGTAGACTCGTCTGATTAGGATGTCGAGTAAACATAGTAATTACAGACATAGTTGTCATTTCACAGTCATCGCCCTTTAATGTTCAAACAGAAGCTGAGAAACCAGACTCAACTTTCAATAGATTGTTTAGCATTTTGAAAATTATACAAAGGCGAAGTTGAGAACGAACTTTTGTTGATATGAGTAATAAATCAATTTGAAAAATCTGATGATCTCCGTGGTCGAGTGGCTTACACACCAGTTTTCATTTGTGTGTGTTATACCACGGCTAGAATAGCCGCTAACGTCGTTTGCGATCCCACTGCAGCCTTCCTAGTTGCCTAGGGCTTGGACGGGAGTGCAGGTGCTGACCGGGCACGGCTGCTTCGGTCACTACCTGCACAAGGTGGCGAGGAGGGAAGCGTCCCCGTCGTGCCACGAGTGCGGCGCTACGGATGACACCGCGTAGCACACCCTAGAGGTGTGCAGACGGTGGGATGAGCAGCGCCGTACTCTGACGGTGACAATAGGGCAGGACCTCTCGCTGCCAGGCGTGCTTGCCGCCATGCTCGGTAGCGAGGAGTCCTGTGAGGCGGTGGCCTCCTTTTGCGGGGAGGTTATGTCGCAAAAGGAGGCTTCGGCGCAGACGTACGGGGAGAAGGCGAAGGCAGTTCGCTGCTCGCCTGATCCCATAGCGAGGCCAGCGGGCTCTGGATTGGGACTCGGGAGCCTGCATTGCACGGCCTCACTCGTCTGGGGGGCGGGTCGGAGGATAACTGACATGCCCCACCATTAGCGTGCGAGCCCTGGCGCAGGATATCATACCAAAAGTTAGGCCTTTCGAAACCGGTTCGATTTATCTCTGATCTCTGATTCGATCCCCGGCCGGTTCAATGTAGAAAACTAACTTTTCTATATAGTCTCGGGTCTGGATGTTTGTTGTTACAGATTTCCATAACACACTCCACTGGTTTGTTGTAATCATTAATATAAAGATCGAACACTCAGAAAAAATTCCTTAGATCCGGTCGGATTCGAACCGACGTCTTCTTGCATACCGTGCCAGACGCTATACCAACTAAGCCACGGAACGAACCAAATTTGTTCTGAGTGTTCGATCTTTGTATTAATGATTACAATAAGTGATTTAATATGGGATTAGAGCAATGTATGTGACGTCTAATATTTCTTTATATATTGGTGCTGATGAAATTACAGGCACATGGGACTTGTCAACTTATGTCTCAGGGTGACAGGCGCAGTGCGCCTCAGATCTTTGTGATTTAAAGCTCTGAGTGGCACTGTAACTGTGTTCGTCCCGTCACTAGATGTTATAAAAAAATATATATTTGTTGTATCAAAGGTGACAAAAATATATTCATTGTCTTTCACTTTCACTTCACTGTCTTTTTGGCGGTATAGTGGTTTATGCTAGGAATAATTTAAATATTTCAGTTGAAGAACCAAATATATTAGACTGTAATCGGCTTCTAATCAAAATTGGATCAGACATAGCAATATTAGCTTTGTACAGACCCCCCTCTTTTAGAAATACCAAAGTTTTTACTGACTCACTTAACGGTACGTTTCAACTTTTATCATCTTTTAAAAATGTAGTATTAATAGGAGACATAAATATCAACATTCTCCCAGATAGCATCGATTCCTGTGCGCAAGAGTACCTAAACCTATGCTCGTTTCATGGCTTACTTCCTGCGCACACTATCCCCACTCATCAAAGCGGCTCTTGCTTAGACCATATTATGCTGAAATCCATTTTTAAATCAATAGCATTAGTTACTAACTCGACAATAACCGATCATAGAGTCGCCCTACTAACCCTTAATCGTAAATTGCTTAATTCTACTCGCACGCAAATAATTTCTAAAATCAATATAAATAAACTTGAAAAAGGTTCATACAACATTGACTTTAACCCAGTTTGTAATATTGATGACGCGGATTTCTGTATGTCCTATTTAGTAAAAAATGTTAGCAATCAATATTAAGTAACACCAAGGTCGTGCGATTAAATAATAAAAATTACAATATCAAACCTTGGATTACACCGGGACTTATTCGCTGTATGCGACATAGGGATAAACTACATATGAAGGCTAAATGTAATCCAGATAATTTAATATTACAAGCATCGTATGAAAGATACAGGAACTTTTGTAACAACCTTCTTAAAAAAGTTAAAAATAGTTACGATAAAAAGGAATTAGACAAAGCTGGTACAGACAGTAAAAAAGTTTGGAAATATATAAAAAATGTAACATACATCAAAACAGCATGAATTATATTCAGAATTATTGAAAGCCCATTCATCTGAGCTGATATCTGCTAACAGCGCAAATGATTTTTTCGTCAACGAAGGTAAAAATCTGGCTCAAAAAATTCAAACTTTGTCGCTTTCTCCACCACAAAGCACTCAATCCATCTGTAACAAAACCCTGGGATCATTTGTACTATTAGATACGGATGAAAGTGAGGTTGAAAGAATACATAATTTTGAGCCTAAAAGACGATAGTGTTCCTGGTCACGATAACATATAAAACAAAATACTAAAACAATTCAGGCACATCCTACTTTCACCGCTTACATTCATTTTACAAATGTCTCTAACAAAAGGAATATTTCCTATATGCTTAAAAAAGCTGTTGTTGTCCCGGTATATAAATCTGGTAACAAAGATCAAATAACGAATTAGAGACCTATTTCGTTGCTGCCAGCAATATCTAAAATATTAGAAAAACTTATAAATAATATACTTGTATTGTATTTGGAGAAACAATCCATATTATCTAAAACACAGTTCGGTTTTAGATCCAAATTATCGACATTTGGCGCTGTGCATCACCTTACGGATTTTTTAGCAAGGGAACTTGACAAGGGTAACAAAACAGTGGGGATATTTCTAGACCTAGCGAAAGCTTTAGATACAGTTTATATACCCATCCTATTGCAGAAGCTTGAATCCCTAGGTATAAGAGGTATACAGCTAAAATTATTTGCAGATTATCTGAAGAACCGCTCCCAATGTGTCAAAATAGGTGACGTTTTCAGTTCTGATCTCAAGAGTACTGCATTTGGAATTCCCCAAGGAAGTACTTTAGGCCTTACTCTGTTTCTGATCTACATTAATGACCTTTGTAATCTAGAATTATATGGTGGGGAGATCATATCATATGTTGATGATACTGCTCTGCTTTTTTCTGCTAACTCTGATAAAGAAGTCTATAAGTATGGTCAGCGAGGATTCAATGTCGTAAATAACTGGCTCTAGCAGCATCTATTAACACTAAACACGGATAAAACTGATTTCATGCAGTTCTATATGCGAAAACTAAAGTCTGTTATAACTAACACACAACTTTGTGCTCACAATTGTAAGGAGACTACTAACAACCTGTGCAAGTGTCCAGACGTTGCTATTACTAACAAGGTAAAGTATTTAGGTGTTATAATAGATGATAACTTCTCTTTTTGGCACCATATCGAAGCACTAAACGGTCGAATCCGTAAGATAATGTATATGTTTAAAAAACTACGCGCTTTTGCTGATTTTAAAATAATCAGGTAAGTTTATTATGCCATATGTCAATCAATTATTACATAATAATATTGCATTACATCTTGGGGTGGTATTGCTAAATCTTCATTACTAACCATTGAGAGAGCCCAGTGAGCGGTTCTAAAGGTTTCTACCTTCCGCCCTTTCCTTTACCCCACTAACCTTCTGTATAAGTCGTGTAAGGTACTAACTGTAAGGCAATTATTTATTAAGTCCTCGGTTCTCAAACATCACATTGTACTCCCATATAGTACTGAAAACACTAACAAAAGACGGAAAGATATTGTCTGCCCCAAAATTGTATCATCAAAACATGTGTTTATTTCCCGATTTGTTGTATTTCAGGTCCAATTTTGTACAATAAATTAAACGCCAAACTGGTCATATATCATTTTTGTTATATAAAGGATAAGAAAATTCTCCAAGAATTCCTTCAAAATATGTCCTACGATGATACAGAGAATGTATTAATTATCCCAAAATATATGTTGTCTAATTTAAGCGTAATAGGTATATGATTTGTATTTCATTGTTTAATTATTATTATTGTTTTGTTTATATTTCAATAATTTTTTTGTTTTTTTGTTTTTACCTGAAATACAGGATTCTCCTAGTTAAGGTATGTGTGTTATATTTTACATTTATTCGCATAATTCGTCTTTAGTTATTCATTTGTACAATACGTTATTCAATAAAAAAAAATATTTTTTTACTTTATTATTTTGCTATCGAAGGCTCCAGTAATAAGAATTTATTACTTAAAACTTGTAATATTAAGTTTATCATGTGAAATTACTCCACTCGTTTGTTATAATTGTAAATAAAAAGATCAAACACTAAAAAAATCTTCAATACGGCTGGACTAGAACAAGCGCCTCCAGCACCTGGGGGTCTAGTCTCGTTCTTCGTTCGATGTCCGTCCAAAAGAATTACTGTCAAATAATTAATACTCGACTAAATTAAAAGAGAATGTTAAGTGTGAAGCTTCTTCATTCGCATCATGCGTCTTGCAATTTGGTCAAGTATTATCAACATCATTATTGTCTGCCATCATCAACCCACTGCTGGCCTCTTCTTTATTGAGCCAATATTTTCGATCGACGATATCATCAGACCATCGGGCTGGTGGTCTGCCCACAGGCCTTTTTGCTTCTCTTGGCCACTATTCCATGACTGCTTTGGTCCATCGTCTGTCTTCTCGTCTAGCCTAATATCCGGCCCACCTCCATCTTAACTTCGTGATGCGATTACCCACATCATCGACCTTCGTTTTAGGTCGCATTTCTTATCCATCGAGTATTACTTATTTGACAGTAAGTGTCGAACTGAGAAGGAGACAAGACTTGGCGCTCTCTTAACTGAGCTACGGAACGAACCAGACCTCACGATTTTTTCTATGTGCTTGCAGGTGTTTGTTTTCGGTTCATAACGACTTTTTTTGTTCAAAACTTATTAAACGAGTTCTTTGATTTTTGTGATGCCTATACATTGGAAATGAATCTTTTTTTAAAACCTAAATTGCGAGTTTTTCAGACAGCCATGACGTTAGGGCCTGTTAATAATACTTTGCTATGTTTGAAATATGTTAAGCATAAGCAAAAATAGTTTAATTTCTAATTACATTAAACTTACCGAAGGAATGCAAAATGATGTAAACAGTCACATAAAAGCTATACATAACAGCATCCCAATTGAATCGATATCGACTGTACAAATAACGGAGTGCGAAATCTCCTGCAAAACAATTACATTAAATTAGAAACTAATATAAGTCTTGCTAATAAGCTCAAATTCATAACCTAAGTCTAAGTATCACTGTACCATTTATTTACTTACTGGCAATTTGATGACCTCGGTGGCTCACTGGTCTTGGGTTAGATTCTCAGTAGGGATAATTTTTTTTCTAAATTGGTTCTGGTGTAGCATTCCCGGTAGTGCCCGGTGTGAACTCCGTTGTTGTTGAACGTATATTACAGGAAATTTCCTGATTCCAGACCAGTTCATTATCTGGTATAATTGTCTGGCATATAATATAAAAAACAATATATTAACAACTAAAAATAATACTTACCCATATTTGGTCCATCGATGATTGCTAAACAAACTAACACCATAATAGATTTAAATCTTCGCCTGTTTGGTCCTTTTTTCAAAACAACCGTTATGGTATTTTTCACGTGCTTTAGATCGAAGAAAGTTCTAAGGAATCCTTTATCCTGAAACGGGAACATTTTAAATTGTTACCATGAAAGGAAACTTTTTAAATTACCTTTCTGATACATACATAAGTACAAACCTCAGCAACTTCCTTGGATCTTGGTAGATTGGGATCTTTAATATAATATACTCCGTAGACTATGCTGACTGCATATAAAAGAGCGCTTAAGGAAAATACTCCATAATATCCCATTTTCTTCAACAATACTCCACTTAAAGCCATTCCGATTGGACGACACGCTGTGAAACAGAGGCTAGCTATACCCATTCTGAATGTCCTGGTCTCTTCACTGGATACGTCACTTATGTAAGAAAATGCTCCCATGCTCAATGTAACCCATCCTCCAGTGATACAAGGACAGAATGCTTCCATAAACATGCACAATTCAAGTGGCAGCTCATAGAAGAAGTAGGTATTGACAATATTGCTGATACACGTCAGTAAATTTCCCACAATTGGTAGCAGAATGTATATTTTCCTTCTTCCAGTTCTGTCGCTCCAGGCTCCTATAAACAGGATTATGAAACATGGCATTGCGTGATATAAAATGTTCTGCCAAATTTCTATTCCTGCTATGACTTCTTGAACTGCAGTTTCTTCAGTTCTATACGTATCACCTTTTCTTGCAATGAGGGCGTCGCAGACTGCATCTCCATACTTCAAATTTAATCTACAAGCTTTGTCCAAGTTGAGATTTTGTGTCGCGAGTCTAGCCAGAGTTCCAGGTATTGTAGAACACGCTAGCACTGGTTCAATAGTAATATTCTCTATGAGAGATTGATATCTTGCTTTCAAAGATGTTTTCTGGGGCTTTTGAGCCTTTAAAGGTTCCACTTCGTGTGCCATTATATTCAAAAGTAAGTGTACTACTGAAGATTGATATTAACTCTACTAAAGATTGTTGTAGATAGGGCAAAGTAGAGCAAATATTTGTTTGTGTATTTTTAACGGAAAATTGTTATTGAAACGTGCGAAACATTAGCAGGTAGGGGCACAGTATCTACATAAAATTTTAATATTGGTTTGCGGCAAATAAAAAGAGTGCTTCTAATGTTATAAGTAATTACTTACGAACAGTATTATATATCATTATATGTATACTTGGGGTTTACGAACCTAGTGTTTGTTATAGTTTTAATTACCCTTTTGTATATGTTCCATAAATATATATTTTCATTTTTCTCAATATATATTTTAATATATTCTAAATATATATTTTCATCATCATTTTACTATTATTATTCGGAATTAGGCACAAGAACTTATTGAAGTTCCGGTCATGAAGAAAAACGACGACATATGCTCATGTGGAAATTAATTAAATGAAGCCTAGCTACTTACTGTTGCTTGTAGAAATATACAAAAATGAGTCTTAAGTTTTGATTACTTTGTTTTGATTATGCGATTGTAATTGGTAGTTCCAAAAAGAACTATACACACATAGAATATGCTTGAAATTTAATTAAAGTATTACCAAATGAATGCTAACATTGTTTGCGTAAACTCCTGAATACAAGACGCTGAGAAATTTGAAACTTTATTCATTTTATCGCTGCTGCTGACCAATTTAGAGGAGATAAGGAGATCGTATTGCTGTGTAAAATGTCGCATTGAACGCCTCGATTACTACAGCTGGAAAATAAAATAAAAGGAATATTAACATGTTCACTTTCCATCACCATCTGGAGCGGAAGAAGTAAGCTTAAGTCATTTAAAAGAATCGTTTATGGTTCTCCCTCAAAACTAAACACCATTTCATTGATAAGTATAATTACACTTAAACCATTTTACCTAATGGTCACTGAAATTAACAAAAATAAAAAAGAAACCGTCATGTCACCTGGCCTGCTGATGTTGGAAATGAGACTCAACACGGAGTCATCCTAATGAAATGTACGACTATAAATATCTATAGACAGCGTAGTCCCTGAAAGTTAGAGCATAGCTACTGGAAGATTACGCTAATACCTGTTTTCACTGAAAAGCATTGCAATGAGACATTTATAAGGTTGGAACAGAGTCGTTCATCGTAGAATTCGTGAAAAGTGTGGACTACGGCATAAGCTGCCTAAATACCCCAGTCGCTTACAGACTTTTTTTTAACGCACACACAAAGGAAACTTTGTATCGCGGGTGCCGTAGACACACACATAAACCTCCACATATTATACCCACACTCACGGGAGAAATACTTAAATAACTTGCTCCACATACCAATTAAGTAAATCGACGTTCTGTATTTTAAGATACAGGACTTACGCTCAACACGTTTAATACTAAATGGTTTGCTTAATACAGGTAACTTCAAGATACCAGAAATTAGTGTGCTTGCTAATGTTAATGTAAATCGTATGTAGTTATTAACTAATTATTGGTGAAAAAAAAAAGAACTGAAACATGAACTTTGAAATAAAAAAAATAGATTTATTGCAATACAGTTTTGGAGTGGTGTTTTGCCGATTAGTAAAAAATGTTTATAAACTATCGCATAAACGTTTGTTGGTAGGTCAAGCATAAACGCTATAAATTAAACCTATGGCAGATATTAGGAAAAAATTGGCCACCTTGGATTTAGTTGAGAAGCGTATCAAGAGGCTTACCTATGTGTGACTGTGAAGAGGCTTGTGGCTGACTCAGTAGATGAGAAGCTTCAGAGTCTTGACCACCGCTGTAAAGTTGCCTGCTTATCGGTGTTCTACAGGAAATATCACGAAGGGTATCTGATGGAACTACAAAATTTAATTTCGCCTGACTCTTTCCATCATCAGGGGCCTAGACGTAGACTGTGGTTCCACCCCTACGTAGTTAGCGAAGCGTTAGGGCATCGAGGCTTGAACAGGCAAATGTCAAATATTGGGCAGAGAGAAAACAGAGAATGTAGATTCTGCCACGAGACGGATGAAACTTCTGTGCATCTCCTCACCCAGTGCTGCCCTCTAATGGGCGTACGAAGTTCCATACTGAGTAGACACATGCCATACTCATTGGACATAAAAACTATCGGAACCAGGAAAGTACTTCAGTTCTTTAATACTGTTGGCCTTGGCTCCGAACTGTAATTAGTGGTGATCACAATACATCAGTCAACGTTCGCAGTGATGATGGGCCGCATAGGCGCCCAATAAAGTTATCCTAATAAATAAAATCCATGGTAAAAAAAAGAAGGATGGCGAAAGCTGCCCCAATAACAACGAAGAGCCGTTCATGGATTTTGCTAGGATAATTTTGCGTTTTAGTTTAGGCCTAGTTACCAATATATTTTTGTATATTTTTAGAACTCGGGAATAAAACAATTGTAAAACATCGTATTTTATGAATGAAGCAAGAACACAACGCAATTGGTTCAGTTCGACCATAGATTAGGTAACGTTCTTGAACGTGCGTTTCATTTTAAGCATGATTGAATGTTTATCTACCTACAATATTGGTTATTTTATAGTACGCACAAAACACTAAAACATGAAAGCTATGAAGTACCGAATGAAATAATCATTTAAAAAGTAATGATATAAAACAAAAAATAAAACACAATGTGACAAAAATATTTAGACAATATTTAAATGAGAGATAATGAAAGTTGCAAAGGAACTTTTTGACAAGAGACCTCTTGCCAATGTCAATCTCACGTTGTTATTGAGTGTTCTCAATGTATGACCATTTGTGGTAGATTTCTGCCATTTGGGCATATTTAATTTTTATTCATTTTCATTGCTGCATAATAAGATAAGTTATATTAAATGTGGCAGAGGTTGGCAGATTTGGGAATATTCATAACTCATAACTGAAAACTTGTTGTTTTCTGCTACTACGAACATACATCTGAAGCGAAATACGTTATAAACATAGCCTATGTCAACTTTAAAACCCCAGCTTGTACAGGCTGTACTCAATTAGCTTTTTTGATGCTCTGATAATGAATCACAAGTATTGATAGGTCTCCATAATGCACATCGTTAAAAACACTGGGTCACAAAATACACGGGATGTCGCCATCCTTCTTTTTGGTACATTTATTATAATTATTAATACAAAGATCGGCCGGATTCGAACCGACGTCTTCTAGCATACCGTGACAGACGCTATACCAATTGAGTCATGAAACGAACCAGCGGACCTTTCGAATTTTTTTGTGTGCTTGTTGTCGTATCATTGTATTTGGCCATCGTATTAGCGCCATCTATGAGAAATTTATGAAAGTATTTCGTCAACAAGTTAGATACCTTTACAGCTACCAGCTAAATTTATTATGGTTTGTAAAAAGTCATGGAACAAAAGTTGTTGTTTATGATGTTAGTAACAATAGTCCTTTGCAAGTTTGATGGTATTTTACCAATAACGCTATACAATTAATATTTTTATATTTTCGTTGTGTAAACTATAATTGATCACTTTTCATATTACGTTGTAACTATAAGTGTTACTTATGGTACGGTATCTGTATTTGTACAAGCTAATTAAATAAGAAGATAAATAAAGCGGAACTCATGTGATTTAAATGCCGAGTAAACATTCAGAGCCAAAGAATGTAACTCAAGTTAAGACGTAGGCATTGATTCTATTTTAAAGATAGAAGCTAGCACTTCTAAACCTAAACCAAAGGTAAATTTAGAATTTAGAAAATTATTGGAAGACATATAACAATACACGTTACTTTTCAGCGCAGGATTTCTTTTTGTTGATACGAGTATAAATAAGATCAATTACGATCTGGTACCACAATATTATAAGTGTTATTAGTTAAAAGTTTGAACGCGAGCCTAGATTTAAGGGGGTGAGGTGTGGGGGGCTACCCCTGTTACCTGCTCGCTTAAAATTAATATGAATAAAATAAGAACAGGCGGAGAAAATTTGACACAGATCCAAAGTTGACCAGCACCCGATGGCGACTGATGCGGGCGATTGGCGCGGTGTGTTAAACCTCTGAGGAATTTGCAAGTGGATTAAACGTGAATTTAATAACTATAGGGCTTCAGTTGAAAACCAAAATTTAGCAGGCTTTTTGTAGTATTTAAAGTGAAAAATCTCCATATAAAAATTTTTGCACTTAGATATTTTATTCTTAAATAATTCGTTACAGACTGTTATTTTAGTCTGCAGATGGGGCTTGTTAACTTATGTCTCAGGGTGATGGGCGCGGTGGCAGTGACCCTCAGATCTTTGCGATTCAAAATTCTGAGTGACACTGCAACTACTGGATAGGCCGCTTACCACCAGGCAAACCACTTGTTCGTCCCGTCACTTTGTATGAAAAAAAAATTATGAAAGAATGCTGGGTTGTAGAGTGGATTAGCTCTAACTATTTTCGTATATAAAGTACAGAAACAATAATGGTTCCTGAAGCTAACCAAATTATATCAAGCTCCATATTTCAAAGATGCAAATAAGTTTCTGATCTTGTTCACTGTCTTGACTTCAATTGACGGCGTGGTACGTCGAAAATTAATTACAAAATGTATTAAAAGAAAAACGCGTCTAGACGCAAAATGCAAGGGCAGGCATTAGGAATCATTTGTTTTAGAAATATAACGGACTTTTACGAGATGGCATGAAATCAGGCAAATTTGGCACAAAATGAAGTTTCATTCTTTGAACACAGGACCAAACTTCATGTGTACCGTAAACTTAGTGTGTGCTTATAATTACTAATATTAGTATATAAATTTGTATTGTTCACTAACCAATATGGATATTGTTGGGAATGAAATGTTTGAAGTTACCCTTTAGAAAATGAAACTATTTTTCCGGATTTAAATCGCGTATATTTGTTTTTTCAAACAAACCGTCGCGTAAACAAGTCTGCAGTCTGCGAGCATGTCATGGATAAACCTACACATTCAATAAAGTTTGACAAACCCCAGGTCCTGGCAAAAGAAGACCACCAGTTTGGGATCCAGTATTTCCTCTAATGAAAAATCCCAAACAGACATAAGACTGCAGTACTAATTAATATGTTTTAGTTTATTCTAATTTCTATTAATAATTAATAATAAATTGAACTTAATAAAAATTCATTCAATAAAATAATTTGTAAAACTGAATATAGCGTAAATTGGAATGTTTTCTTTGTAAAATTAAAAAGGTATTTAATTAATAACTATTGTAACTATAGTGAAAAAATAGGGTGGTTTGCATCAATATTAGACATAACTGGTTGAAGACTGTACCACCTCAGTCAGTCGTGACCATGGAACCTGTAAAGGGCCCGAAACGTCGGTTTCTTTGAAAAACAAATATACGCGATTTAAATCCGGAAAAATAGTTTCATTTCCTATGTGTAACAATCGCGAAAACCTAAGTTACCCTTTAGAAATAGATTTCGATGCTGTCGTGCTGTTCTGTAGACTAAATAGCTGTTACCGACTCTGAGCACGTACCGGTAGCGGTTTTAAGTAATGTGATTGATTTAATTGAAAGACACACATCCAAGTTGGCGTTATCCGAGCAAAAGCAGTAGATTACCAAGCGACGTATCAGAATAACGAAAATTGATTTTACGTGGAAGCTAAATGAAACCCGACAAACGAAGTAGAGAAAACAAACAGTACAGACGGTGAGCAGTGGAAATCAGATTCTCGACAACCCATAAAGGAAGGCTAAATATACTTTGAAATAATATCAATGACATCTACTACTTAAACCAGGTTCATAAATACCATACTGAGTTATGCAAAACAAATTCTGGATCCTATTCCTTTCTTTCCATTCTTTATTAGTGCAATAATTGTTTCTCTTACGTCAAAAAACAGCAGTAAAATTCTAGTCAACTTTAAAAAAATATAATATCGAGTCACGGGACGAGCAAGTCATGCGCCTGATGGTAAGCTATACGCCTATCCATAACAGTTGCAGTGCCACTCAGAGCTTTAAATCGCAAAGATCTGAGGGGCACTGCCACTGCGCCGTCACCCTGAGACATAGGTTGACAAGTCCCATGTGTCTGTAATATCACCAGCAACCTTACCCTTCAAAACCGGAATACAGTAATATAAGGAAAAAAGTAAGAACAAAGTAATGGAACCACCATTACTGCTCGGCGGCAGAAATAGGCTACAACTAAGTATCAGAACAACCGTTCCTGCTCGTTTAATGACAATGAATGAGTTGCTTACCCATCTATGATGCTAAATAAACTCACGTCATCATAAATTTAATTTATCTGATACATAAATACAAACCTCAGTAACTTCTTTGGGTCTTGATACTTTAGGATCTTTGGTATAAAATGGAGCTCGAGAAAAATACTCCATAATATCTAAAGTTTTTAAGCAAAATCGCCATTGCAATTGGACGACTCGCTGTGAAACAGAGGATAGGCTACACGTGTTTTAAATATCCTGGTCTCTTCACTGAATACGTCACTTATGTAAGAAAATACTCCCATGTTTATTGTAACCCATCTTCGGGTTATAGGAGAAGAGAATGCTTCGATAAACATTTCAGGTTCAAGTGGCAGTTCTATGCTTATTTCCCTGTTGCCGTTCCATCGCTCCAGGCTTCAAGACAAACAATATCAACGAAACCACGGCACTGTGCTATCTAAATTGTCCCGTCAAATTTCTGTTCCGGCCATGACTTACTGGAGTGCAGTTTATTCCGTTTTATATATTATTCCCTTCCTTGCATTACTATTCCTTTTTTTGCATTAAGGGCATCTTATATCATGTTTCCATTTGTCAAATTCAATCTTCAAGCTTTATCCAAGATTTTTGTGTTGCGAGTCTAGACAGTGTTATCGGTATTATAGAACACGCTAGCACTGCTTTAATGGTAACATTCTCTATGAGAGATTGATCCTTTGCTTTCAAAGAGGTTTTCTGTGATTTTTGAAACCCTTTAAAGGTTCTATTTCGCGGGTCATTAAGTTCAAAAGTATGTGTACTTCTAAAGATTGATGTGAAAGTCTTTTGGATACTTTAATAGTGTACAAAAGACTCTTGCGCGTTCCTCTATAGCATAAAGTATGTATAAGACTTATATTAATGCTGGGTGTTCAGCTTGCGTAATGGACATCCTTTCTTATCCCCAGGGTAATATTTAACGAATTATTAAATTGATAAAAGATATGATTGAAACGTTTGATTAAGTTGGAAACTATTCAAAATTACGAAGGTATCTCTCACACTTTGTAATTAATTGTCTGTTCTCAGAGAAACACTCTCAAGCTACGGATCAATCACCACAGAATACAGACATAATATGTCTAAATAGACGCCGCGAGTATATAATTTGTATGAAAACAGCGTGCCGCATTTTTTGTACCCACTATGACGTCACAAGAACTATTTAGTGATGAAACTGCCTTCCGCTCGCTTTAAATCGATTGATTGAACGGATATTCGTAAATACGCGTATTCCATTCAATTAATCGATTCTAAATAGAATAATTTTTGTTCAAGTCATTGACTTACAAATAAATGGACGACGGGTCTAATACAAAAACCACGAAAAAAATGTCCCAAGTCAACCTATTTAAACGTAGTGACATGTAAAGGAATATGAAAAAGCTAAAACGTTGAATTTAAATTGTAATGTCATCGCAGTACTGTCTAATTTTGCTTGCTTCGCTGTCAGTCGAACAAACGAAGACTAAAGCGTGAATGACGCTCTGTATACGATTTTATCGCCCTATAAGTTCGGACACTTTTTAGCGCGGACCCGACGTCCATATAATTGTAAGTCAATGGCTGTTACACTGTTCTCTTTTTAAATGTCATTTGCTATAGCAATGGCTCTGCCGACATGACGCGTATCTTTCTCCTTGTTCGGCACTCGGCAAAATGACTGCACCGCGCCTGATGGAAAGTGCGAATACAGTCCAGAGATGAGAGTAACGGATGGAAAACACAAATATCTTCACTCCGTCACTATCATTTTGCCGGTCTGGCCAAATGCTTCTTCACACTACGTTTGAAGGACCGATGTTATAGAGGGGAGGGAATACATGCGCCGGGAGTTGGTTCCACAATTTGATGGTTCGGCATAAAAACGAATTGCCAAACTTTTTAGTGCGGGACGGTATTGAACTGACCGTCCATCTGTGGCAACGCAGTCCGGCACGGGTGGTCCGCTGATGGAAAGATGGAATTGAGGTTGTTGGTTAATTGTGTTTATTATTTATATTAATATATAATTATTTTAATTCTTCGAAGAACTAAAATAATTTCAATAATCACTTACATCTTGTAGAATAAAAATTGATAAGGTGTAAATTCGGAACGCATCCGAAGATAAACTTTTTCTTCTAATAAAAAAGAAACTGATGTTTTTATAGTTCAATTGTTTTTCTTTCATCTACCATTTTCCTCGCTATAGTGAGGTGAAAAGTTGTGTGTTTTGCTCGGCAGCAAAGCTGTTTTGCGTATCGTGCCTTGAAACCCTCGCTATGCTTAAGAATCTTAGCTTCCTCCGCTTGCTCAGATTTCCATTCAAGCACTTGCGTCAAATAATAACTTTGCAGCCTTGCATAACAAATACTGTTTTACTTTTACAAGATTTTTTACTTACAATTATAAAACAGTTTGTTTTAATTTTTCTACTTTATTTTAAATTCTCTTATATGTTTACCATCAAACAATTATATCCCTTGAGCGTTACTACCATTATTACGACCATATTATGCCATTTGTTGCTACATCGGGTAAACCGCACCTATTGGACAAATAATAATACCAAATTACTGTGTGATAACCTGTTCACCAACTAACTCAATACTGCAAGTTATAGGGTTTTCTTTTTTCTTCACATCTGAATTCCGTCGTCCATCTTCGTCTTTCGTGTCATCAGAATTTTTACTGTCTACTGATTTTTGTCTCTTCACACTTTCGTTTTTCACTTTGTAGAACCATCTATGAAAGCAAGATATTAATTCTAAAATGCGAATCAATGGTGAAGAAAAACGTTGTAAGGATATCCAAATGTTTAATTTTTTAACCGACTTCAAAAAAGGAGGAGGTTCTCCATTCGTCTGTATGATCTTTTTTTTTGTATGTTTGTTGCGCGATAACTCCGGTATTTGTGAACCGATTTTCATGATTCTTTTTTTGTTGGAAAAGGGGTACTTCCATAGTGGTCCCATTTCATTTTGAAAAAAGCATCCACCTCGAAGGGTTGCTGTTCACGCACGAAGATTCATTTTTATAAGTAGCGCCTAACTTTAATTTAGGAGCAATTACTTTAATGGTTGATTTTGCTATTTCTTCAATTGAAGGCGTTTTTCTTTCAATATACTTTGAGTAGTGAGAACCAATTTTTATTATCTCCAGTGTCAAGTCCTGTATAGTGGCGAACTAGGGGATATTTCAATAAAACTTAGCAAATAGAAGTAATTCCACTTACTTTTGAGGTCGGTTTTTTTAGTACTCTGTACTGAGATTATTAATAGGGGCTGAAGCGATGGAGTATTTGCAAGATCAGAATCGATTCCTGCTAAATGTATTATATCTAGTTATAGGTGAAAATACCATTACCCAAAAATGAATACGACGATTACTGTTATACCAGCGGTGACGTAGTAAACAAAACCAGCATTATAATTTAGCGTTATCATGTACATCCAAGAATACAAGGAAATGAAGACCAATGAAGCTACTTCTTCAGTCAAGTTAAAGACAGATTGTAGTTTACCTGAAAATTTGAATAACATTACTTTTTGTAAATAAAATTATATCGAAGAAACAAAACAAATCAATCTCACACATTAATAATAATATAATAACATTTAGCAGCAGTAGAGCTCTTTGTGAAACAGTTCATCCAGTGAAGTACTGCCACCTTACCTATTTCTGCCGCCAAGCAGTATTGTGAGCATTACTGTGTTTCAATTTTGAAGTGTACGGGTGCTGGTGAAATTACAGGACTTGTCAACTTATGTCTCAGGGTATAGGGCGCAGTGGCAGTGCCCCTCTGATGTTTGTAATTTAACGCTCTGGAAGGAACTGCAAATGTTATGGACAGGCATGGCGCTTACAATCAGGCGCATGACTAGTACATTAAAAAAAAATTTAGACTTCTGCAGGAGGATGCTTGAAAGGTAAGCGGAGGTCACAGTATATCAGGCAACTATCATTCAATCGATTTTTAATTTATGAGACGTAATTATTTCTTTACATTTACGCAAAAATGCATGGTGCTAAATCTAAATTATTAACTACATACCATAAACAAACATGATGTCAGATTTTGGTTAAATAGAAATTAATAAATTTGCAAATAATCATGACGTAGCTAGTAAGCACATTATGGTCGTTCATAGACAATGTTTCAAATTTAATTAAAGTATGCCATATGTTAAGTATGTTTATTAAAGTGTTTAGAGGCTTTGGATGAATAAATAACTATAAAATTAAAAGAGTGAAGAACCACAAAGTAAATAACACTTTTATGTAAAGAAAAAGAATCGGAAAGAGTTGAAAGTAGAGTAGGGTGAGTGATATAGTGTATAGGTGAAGATAGGACAAGACGGACACACGGGGTTAGAGGCCTCTGCCTTCGAGTGTTGGAGACTAAGGACAAAGGTGCTGGACCGGAGAACAGCGAATTTATTGGCGGGACAGCGTTTGTAGTACAGGATCGAAGTGCAGCGAGGTTGATGACGAGACAGCGGTAGTGATGCTGCTGTAGGTATAGCAGAAGTTGGGTAGCAAATATTAGGAATCAGAAAAAGTAAGGGCATTTTCTAGGAATGTGTAATGAGAGTGATGAAGATAAAGATAAAGATAAAGAGGTTTCACACTGCAAGTATCACCAAATGAAACAAACCTAACGTTATTGACATTAAGCTCAGAATACAATACATTGGCAGTATTAAAAATTTACCGATTTCATCACTGCTGACTAATTTAGAGGACATGGATCGTAGTGCGGTGTAAGATGTCGAGTTGAAAGTCCCCAGCGCTACAGCTAAAAAATAGAAAAAGAAACATCAAAGTATGTGGACACTTATTGTGTAGTTTTAATTTAAAGGATTTTTCATTTTAGCTTTAAAGTTACAATTGAAAAATGATCTAAGTAATAAATAGTATGCAGCAGAGGCGATGAATGCTTGTAACATGTTTTCTATTTGCTCGCCTATGAAATTGGTTAACGTAGGAATAAAAGAATTAATAATATTTTATTAATCAACGACATTTTAAACTTATTTATCCAACGTAACAATTACCACCTAGTCTTTACAACTGGTTTTGAACAAAACGAATAAAAAAAAATTGTTGGAAGTAACATTTTCAAACACCACAAGATGTTGGTTTGTTTTGCATATATGGCTGACGGTTTGATCGCTATTCTTCAGAAATTTTGTCGTTGTTAAGTTTCGTTGAATTGATAATTTTAGTAATTTGAATTTAAGACTATTTATTCGACGGTATCGGAAGACGAACGTCTCGCATTGCATTCCATTAATGTTGGAACGAGTGAAGTATAAACCACTCAATTTTAATATTGTGATACACAGGTTTGCCGCCAGGTGGCGCTAATGTAATTCTTATATAACTTGGTCGGTTTATCTATGTCTAACCGTCACGTCATCGTATACTTTCTCTAATGCAGTCTCTATCTTTCGGTTGAATCCAGATTTATTTCTTATCATAATCCATATATTAGCTGTAAAATTCCTACACCGGCTTACCAATTTCAAATATTAATTCTTAATTATTATGAATATTTAATTAAAAATAATTGATTTATTATTTATCTTAGAATTTCGTTGATTACATTTACTTATGTATTTTGAGTTTTTGAACGTTTAGATTTCGAAATAGCTATTAATATAATTATTATAATATAAGGTTACTATTACCAGTAAAGTATGGACCTTGTTGTCTGACAATAAAATATTTTTATTCTATTTTATTTTTATTCTTCGCCCTTCATTCCTTCTCAAGGGAATTTGCTTTAAAAATAAGCAGTAGAATTTATTCACTATCACCCTCACGCGATGCGCTCATCCTACCGCAAAATGGCGGCTATTTGGTTTCGCAAATTAGAAAAGAATTCAGTTTAAATACAAGTTTTTAAAAATAAAAATTATTATTCTGCATTGCTAAATAAATACCCTCTGTACTACAACAAAAACATCTCGAATATAATGCAGTAATACACCGCAAATCCTGCACTTAAAAAGCACTAATGAAATTTTTGGTGTACTTGGGTAAATATGATAATATTCCGTTTGAGTGGTTCTAATGTTTACCATGAAATTACTCCTTAAAGTATAGTTTATAAACATTCATATTCAGGGTAAACTTAAAAAACGCAACTTACGGTATGTTTTCAATAAATAAACACCGACATCACCAGCCCAAACAATAACACAGATTGTCGTGACGTATTTTTGAAGTTGTTTATTTTTTTTAAATGACGGACCCAGGCATTAAAAACTGTATGGTTTGCTAGAGTAGTTACCGAAATAGCAATTAGTATTAGTTCTTTTATCTGTTATAACTTCGATATCCGATAAATCGGTATAAAATCATCACCGGCACCTCTAGGTGTGGTATGCTTCCAGAGACGCATGAATCGCGTGAGCGGTCTATGATGATTTCAAATGTAAATTTGTTTAATACACGGGCGTATACCATTTTCTTCCATATCCTCACCATCCAACTGGTGAGATTGCTCTACCCGAAATTGAACACCGTTGGATCATTTAGCATTGTTCAAACATTTTTACTCAATGATCACTGAAATCTAAATAGATTATCTGCTTCCGTGGCGGTACAGTCACGCAGGCATTCTGGGGTCCATTCCCGGGCCGGGAGAAATATTTGTATGGCCTACATTTATTTCTCTCGTGAGTTTGGATGTAATTTGTGGTTGTCTACATGTGTGTCCATGACACCCGTGATACAGGATTTCCCTAGTGCGAGCCTATGAGTGTGTGCGTTGTTATTATTATTATCCATAATTCACCAGCATATTAAAAGTCCACATACCTAGATACATTTGGAAACTGTTCTGAGCCAAACCAGTAAACAGTGCACCGGCTATCCTGCTGACACTGGAAATGAGACCCAGCACGGAGTCATCCCAGAGGAATTTACGATTGAAGATGCTTATGGATACCAAAGACCCTGAAAATGAGAGTAGTGCTTTTAAAAGCTTATAAAAATACGTTTTTTCTAAAGGAGATTTAAAAAAAATATAATATCAAGTGGGCCTGTCCATTTAAGTCGTAAAGATCTGTCACCCTGAAACACAAGTTGACAAGTCCCAAGTGCTTTTAGTTTCACCATCTATCATGACATTATTTAGTTTTATGTTCTTTATAATAAGCATTGTACTCTCGATCCAAGAAATAATAACGTCAACCGTATTTTCTTTAATTTTTTCATGCTTTATTTTGACGTTGTGTACAATAATTTATAATTGGAAATCATTTACAATGTTGCACATTACCTAGTTACATTATAGATGTTAAATGTATTTTTACAATAGTAAATAAATAATAAAATAAAAGAGACACAAAAAAATATTCCATGTCTTCAATTTTGCTGTCGGAGGCCTAAAGGATTAAAACATTATATTAAATTTACAGAATTCTCAGGTTTTCGTGATTCCTACATATTGGGAATTAACAGTTTTTTAATATCTAAATCACGAACATTTGTTTTTCTTGTCAACCGTGACCGTGAGGCGTGTATATATGCTGACATTTTGGTTTGTTTCACGATTTAAAGCAATAATAAAAGTAGTTTAAATTCCAATTGTATTAAACTTACCGAAGGAATGCATAACGATGTAAAAAGTTACATAAAAACTGTACGTAACAGCGTCCCAGTTGAATCTATATCGACTGTACAAATACCGGACTGCGAAATCTCCTGCAATAAAAATTAATTAAATTAAAAACGTGTATTATACTTGGAATGAACAACCCTAAATAAACAGTCTTAAAATTTCCCAATGAATATCACATTCACAAATTAAATACACGTGCGGTCAAAGTATCACTGTATCATTTACTGACAATTTGATGTCTTCGGTAGTCTAAAAAAGGTTTGCACTGAAGTCCAAGTTTGTAGTGAAGTGGCCAATGAACTATTCCAAATTGGTTCTGGTCTGGATATTCCGGGTAGTGCCCTAGACTAAATTTCATTGTCTTGGTACTTATCCGCTTATGCGATGCGCTCTTCCTACCGCAAAATGGCGGCTATTTGGTTTCGCAAATTAGAAAAGCATTCAGTTTAAATGCAAGTTTTTATAAATAAAAATTATTATTCTGCATTGCTAAATAAATACCCCTCCGTACTACCAACAAAAACATCTCAAACAAATTGCAGTAATACACCGCAAATCCTGCCCTTAAAAAGCACTAATGAAATTTTTGGTGTACTTGGATAAATATAATAATATTCCGTTTGAGTGGCTCTAACGTTTACCATGAAATTACTCCTTAAAGTATAGTTTATAAACATTTGTATTCAGGGTAAACTTAAAAAACGCTACTTACGGTATGTTTTCAATAAATAAACACCGAAATCACCAGCCCAAACAATAACACACACGATTGTCGTGACGTATTTTTGAAGTTGTTTATTTTGTTTAAATGACAGACCCAGGCATTAAAAACTTTATGGTTTGCTAGAGTAGTTACCGAAATAGCAATTAATATTAGTTCTTTTACCTGTTATAACTTCGATATCCGATAACTCGGTATAAAAAAACCGGCACCTCTAGGTGTGGTATGCGTCTACGGCTGCATGTATCGCTTGAGCGGATAAGATACAGAAGATTCTCTAATTAAATAACATTATAATATAACAAATGAATATGTTGCTTACCCATGTTTGGTCCATCTACGATTGCTAAACAAACTAATATCATAATAGATTTAATTTTTCGCCTGTTTGGTCCCTTTTTTAAAACAACTGTTGCAGTATCCTTCACGTGCCTCAGATCGAAAAATGTCTTAACAAATCCTTTGTTCTGTAATGATAACATTTCAAATAGTCATCTTGGAAGAAAATTTTTGGAATTAACATATCTGGTACATACACAAATAGATACCTCAGTAATTTCTTTGGGTGTTGGTAGCTTAGGATCTTCCATATAATATATCCCGTAGAGTAGGCTGAATATATATAAAAGGGAGCTTAAGGAAAATACTCCATAATATCCAATTCTTTCCAACAGTATTCCACTTAAAGCCATTCCAATTGGACGACCCGCTGTCAAACAGAGGCTGGCTACACCCATTCTGAATGTTCTGGACTCTTCGCTGGATACGTCACTTATGTAAGCAAAAGCCCCCATGTACATTGTAACCCATCCTCCAGTTATAGAAGGACAGAATGCTTCCATAAACATACACAGCTCAAGCGACAGCTCATAAAAGAAGTAGGTGTTGATCATATTGCTGATACACATAAGCAACTTTCCCACAATTGGTACTAGAATGCATATTTTCCTTCTTCCCGTTCTGTCGCTCCAAGCTCCTATGAACAGGATTAACAAGCACGGCAATGCGCTATATAAAACGTTCTGCCAAATTTCCCTTGCGGCTATGACTTCCTGTACTGCAGTTTCTTCGGTTTTATAGCCATCAACTTTTTTTGCAATGAGGTCATCACATACTGCATCTCCATACTTCAAGTTCAATCTACAAGCTTTGTCCAAGTTCAGATTTTGTGTTGCTAGTCTTGACAGTGTTATAGGTATTGTAGAACACACTAGCACTGGTTCAATAGTAATATTCTCCATAAACGATTGATACTTTTCTTTCAAAGTTGCTTTCTGTGGTTTTTGAACATTCAAAGGTTTTTCGTTTGCCATTCTGTTCAAATATATGTTTACCACTGAGGATTGATATTAACGTGTACTAAAGTGTTGTAGATAGGCCAAAGTAGATCAAATATAATTTTGTGTATTTTTTACTGAAAACTAGTAGTACACAGTAAATAAAAAACTATCTCTAATATTATAAGTAATTAATTATAAAGAGAATATTACGCTTGGTGTTTAGGAATCTACTGTTTATTGTAGTTTTAATTATCATTAGCATATGTTCAATACGTAGATGCTTGTCATTTATTTCTAGAACATGAGGAAACTTTGTATAAGCATTTTTTACACAGACCACATAGTTTTTACAAGGAAGAAATAATGTTGAGTATTGATTGAGATGGATATGGGCTGATAAAAATGTCAGAAATACGTGAAAGGCTATAAAACCCCAGTATTAGTTTATTGAACCTTTTATAATACTAAATTATTTTAGCTTAGCCAAATAATATAATACACCCCTGTAATAATTAGTATGCTATAAATTACCGATTATTGTGATGATCGAGAGAAATACTGGTAGCTGGTGATTTACTTACTTGGTATTTCATTGAAATCTTGTTGGCGCCGAGATTTTTTTTTAGTTATGACAGAAATATAGGCTGATCGAAAAGTTTAAGGTGTTTAACTGTGGTCGGAGTGTATTTGTCGCGTAAATCAATATGTTAAACCGTATGAAAATGTCGACATTTTGAAGTTGCGATTGTTAATAATTCCTGTAGGAGAAGCCACGAATTTGGTGATGTGTGATATGTAACTCGCTTTGAAATAACATAAGTACCCAAACCTCAATGAAATAATGGAGAATAGATTCACGAATACATTATTTCCGGAACTACGAACCGGTCTAAGCGCGAGCGCAATCGGTGACACTACGCGCGCGTTTACCGGGAGTCTAGAGTAGGAAGGCTCCATTTATCGCGTTGATTATTCGGAATTAGGCACAAGAACTTATTGAAGTTCCGGTCATAAAGAAACGGCGACATATGCTTATGTGGAGATTATTAAATTGAAGTGTAGCTACTGTCTGTTGTTTGTGAACGTGAATGGGAAAAATTGATAAAAAGAACATTGCTTGACAACTCAAGCTTGTCAACCCTACATAGTGATGTATAACGGAAAACTAAAAACAATTTGGGAAAAGCTAGGAATGCGATGTGATGATGACTATGACACTGAATTTCAAATAATTCTATACGCAAGCTACGTCTTGCTAGTTTTGTAAGCCGAGGATGCCTACCGCGCGTCTAGCCGCGCCTTTCGGCGCTCGTGCTCTCAGTTGAGGTAAATCTCGTAATCAAATTTACGAATAAAACAGGTTCTATTTCTTATTAATTTTGGTCACTACATACACACTTATAACTTAGTATGTATGTTAAAGATTATAAGTTTTTAACATAAAATCGCACACCGAACACTACCTACCAAATAGGGTATAACTATTTACTAAGCTTATTCCAGATCACTTTCACGACATATACGTCCGTCACTGATTTGACTTTAGCGTCCACTGAAAACCAGCTTCACAACGTAATCTACGATGTGGTATTAGTTGAGTAGACTATTTTGCATATGCCACAGCTACACACATGACAGTATTTTAAATTTTTTACTTGAATTTTAAGCTGTGCCATCGCAATCTATTCTATTCAACCCAGAAAAATGTACCAACATCTATCAAAAATGAATTCAGGTTCAAACGATAGGGACTGGATGCGACTCAAAATTCATTATTTCTGACAAGCAATCAGTCCTGGGATCACACGATACTCGCATTTGGGCTCATTCGGCTTCCGTTGCAACAGCACATTGCAAAGTTTAAGAACGATTGGTTAAGTATGAATGCATTCAGTGAACCAAAATCAGGTGGATAAATCGGGTACCCATTTTATGGAAAAAGATGTCATAGTCCACAGGATTTAAAGCTCAGAAAACTCTATGTAGGCAACGTCAAACTGACCTACATGTTCTATTGTATTTACTAAATAATTCGCAAATAAATTTAAATTCTAGTTCGCTACATGCTTCGACTGAATACAGAGTCAAAGAATCCAACAAGCAATTATACTGTATAATATATGTTCTAGCAAAGTTATTGTAAGGTTGAGAACTTTTTGTGTGTCTATAAATGACATCAGTAATGACAAAAACCATAGTTACTTCAACAAGTGGCTCGTCAAAAAAATACAGTATTCATCAACAAGTGGTTCGTCAAAAAAATACAGTATTTATCGTTACTAATCTCGTACATGTTACTAACTGATACCATCTCCGGGACACAGGTACAAGGACACCATTAAGTCAAATAATTATAGTAGATATATACGTATTACCTCAAAATAATCTTATTTATGACGTTTACAAGTTATTCTAATGGGAGAATATTTGTAGGAGAATTTGGCAATATTTAGTTTAATTTCAATATTTCATTTAAATTAGTTCAGTGCAGTGCGGTGCACGGTCGGATTCGGACGTGCTCCACTACACAGTAAGAGTTATAATAATATTATTATA